CCCTCTAACCTTTTTTGAATGAATCAACAATTTTGTAAAAATGTTTGTCTGGAGTTTAGATTCATGGATCTCCATCCGGGAATGAACACAGTAAGGTTAAACACTGTAGCATGTGTTCCACGTGAATTTGATGAATGAGTGAAACGTGGTTCATTCATGCTTCAAGCCATTACAGCGAGCTGAAACTCCCCAAACCAAATTATCTACATTTACAAAGTATTGATACTAATGCCTTTGATGCAGGTCCATTTAACCAGTTACAGTTAAGCGAGTTTCAAATCAGATTCAACAACTTCAAAGCTTTGACTAATCCACGTTATTTTGATCATTGCATTTGAAAATCAAGCACACATGGCTGAACCTGTCTAGAAACATGTTTGGATTCATTCAAGCTGCCTTTAACTTCGGAAACCAATATATAGCAAAAAGACTATTTTTTTCTGAATTGCCAGTCAACTTTCTGCCTGCTTCCTTAGATGAAAGGATTTAAACTAAACTACTATAGCATGATACACCTTTTTCCTGTTTGTTTGTTGTTGGGGTTTTTTTCCGGGGAGGGGGCAGAAAGTGTGGGTGGAGGTCGAGGAATATGCATGTAGGATGAGAAAAGGAAATTTGTGAAAGTACAGCTATGCAGCTTGGCCTGACAGTTAAGGCAAAATGTGGTAGGTTAAAGGGATACATGTACTTGGTGTTTGTTCAGCAAGGGGTGGTGGGATGTGGGGATATGTGGGGAAATGTGGGGAAATGTGGGGTAGGATGGAGAGCCGTGGCAGGTATAGGTGGGTGGAGGAGGCTGTGGTTCGCTGAAGTATTGAAGTCAACACAGAGAGAGAGAGAGACCAATAAACATGATCTAAGAATTGCAGCCTAACTGTGTCAGTCGAGGAAGTACTTTTCCAGGAACTAGAAAAAGTTTCCAGTACATGGTTAATTAAATACTTGACATATTGGCCAAACAGCGTGGGTGTATGAAGATAAAGATAAAGGAGAGAAGACAAAGGTGTATGAAGAGCAGTGTTGCTGCATGACAATTGATGAAGCTGTCTCAGACTTGAAATAAACATTTGACAGCACTTATTGCAAGCAAAGAAAACTTTCTGGTGGAATATAGAGAATCATTGGCATGGTTTATTCCTAACACTCAATTTCTCTATTAAAAGATTTCAAGATTTGAAATTTTACAACTTGATTTGTTTGGGGGGGGGATGAAAAAATAGACAGAAATGATGAGCAAGGATATTGGAAAGTACAACAAATACAAGATCTGACGCTTTGCTTATGTCAAAGATGTCCAGAGAAAATTCAATGTCTGGCACAGGGTTCAAACACAGCAAAAGAAAGATAGATAAATGTGTGTAGTGTTTTTCATTAAAGCTTGAGCAAGAGCTGCATGAAGCTGGGCTGAAGTTGCCTCCGACATGAGAGAAAAAGTTCTGTGTATTTAGTGCAATCAAGGGCAAACATTTATGATTTGAAAATGAGAATGCATTCAAGCCTTTTAGAACAACCTCCCTTTCTGGCTGACAAGTTGAACAAGGCCAGCCCAGCAGTCAAAATAAATCAAGTGACTGTTTTTAACAGTTCAGGTCTCCCTGCCTTCAAGTTCATTAAGCAGAATTGACTGGCTGTGATTGTTATGAAACCTGATGAACAAATGTAGCTACATTCATGCTTGGACTGTATGAGACTGATAAGCCAGCTGTGCCTATCAGTTGCCTGCTTTTGTGTCTGTTGACGGATAACTGTCACCGTGCCAACAAGAAATATGATCTGACTGTTGGTGACTACCTGTGTAAAAGGCATGGCAGGGGACAGGATTGAAGTTTTGACTGTCTGTGACTGATCAAACGAAAGGAGGGGCTTGGGTACAGTGGTAAACAAGTGTAAAGAAAATGTCAGGCAACAAGTGCACAAGAACTAAGATGACATTTTTCAATATTTTGATAATGTACAAATGGGCTGGAGCTACATGTACACGTATTGCAGCTTGAATGTCCGTATCATCAGACAGGGAACAGGGCAAGCTGAATATTGTTGAAACTTGCTGAATATTGTTGAATATTGTTGAAACTTGCTGAATATTGTTGAATATTGTTGAAACTTGCTGAATATTGTTGAATATTGTTGAATTGCTGAAACTTGCAAGGATGATGTATTTTGAGCAAAGAAAAGAACTGACAAAGGTCTGTGTGAAACAAAAAAAATGACCCTCATTAGAAGAGGGAGAGCAGTTGTGATCAGGGACAAAACCTGATGGAAGTTGCAACAGTCCTCTGTTCTTATTTGAAAAACAACAGAAAAGCAGAAGGGATCTTGTTGAGTTAAAAAGTCTGGCTGGAAATGGAGTGCCTTGTGAAGTGAGTGTCCAAAGAGAAGGGGGTTGACTCTCAGGAATGGCCGACTTGAGTGACTACCCAAGCAACTGACATTAACATGACTGCCACAATGTGACCCACCATTAACATTCACAAAAATAGTTATGTGCACAAGACCGACAAAATTACGCGATCGCCCCTACTAACGGCCCGAGTTGAAGGGACTTTGTAATCAACGGAATGCTTCATCTATTGGGTTTACCAAGTCTGTGGATGCAGCAATGCAGACTATGTGAGGACATCACATATTGAGGATTTGCTTGTATTCAATCCAAGAAGAAACATTCTGCAAACTTGCATGTTCGCAATAAATTAGTTATTAGCTTTTATACCAATTTTCGATGCTGTTCATCCACACTTTTGTGATCCACGCGAACAAAGTCCCTCCATGAATATAGAAGTGCTATCAAAGTTTTAAGACCAGCCTTTGACTTTAAGAAAGCTATGTGACTTTGATTGTACTTAAAAAAAGTTTCAATGTACATCTTTTTTTTTTGCGAGAGTTTCCCTGATTAGGACACTTGAAGCCCAAAGTTTTGCAGAGAATTGGATTTATGTTTTGGCAGAGGAGTTTTTACTCAAATGTGGTATTATTACGTACTTGTGATGAAAGATCAATTGAGATACATGTAAGATTAACATTTGTTGTCATATTGATATATGAGAAACAATTTGAGATTCATGAGCAAGCGTGGAAAACCAAACAGAGGAAATAGAGGAAGATTGAAAGACAAAAGTATGGAGGACAAAATGAAAAAAATTCAAAAGCTTCACATGTGTAGCTTTGTAGAAGTTGTGTCATTCATAGAGGAAAGAATGAAGAAATGAGGGTGAAATATTCTGGCCAATCAAGCTTATGGGCCTCTCCTATGGGTAAGAATCGTCAGTTATCCAGTGAAAGGACACCGTCACCAACAAATCTAGCCACTGTTTGCAAGGGAAATTAAGTATCATTTTGTGGGGTATGTTATAGCTAATCCCGAACCAGCCAAAATGACCATCACGGTTGTAAACACAATTTGTATTTTCCACTTTATTATGTGTCACCGAATGATTATCAATGTAGAATTTCAAAGTATCAGTCTAGATTAATTGTCTTCCTTCGAAAAACACTTCTTCCTTTATCAAAAAAACAGTTGCTCAGAGATTGAAAAGTGAGCAATAAACTTGCTACATATTACACTTTTTGGGGCCAACAATTGAACAGTTTTAGCATTTTGTATCGGCAGGATTAATGAAAAAGTTATTCCCACTAAAACCCACGATAAGTTTGTCCACAACTTAGTAAAAAAAAAATCCATTCAAACATTTCGGTTTGTAGAGACAGAGGATCCGATCAGGTCCACCCTAAAAAAATACAAGAAAATGTGAAACTATTTCAAACTGTTCATCCATGGTCTTCTGTCACAACCAAAGATAATGAGCATGTGTGTGTACTTTTAGGGACGCTATGCAGAAACAAAAACCAGTGTTCCTACAGTAATCTTCAAATGAAATCCCATATGACTTTTCCAGAACAAAATTAGGGTTTCAATGACCAATTCCTAGATGCTGTTCTGGCAACCGCTTTTTAGCCTTCCAGTTTGACAAGTTATCACTGAGCACCACAAAAGCACCACAATGGTGCATTGAACACTGAACAAGTACTGCGCATGTAAGCATATAAAGAAAAAGTATAGTCAACTGGAATGCAGCCATAGCTCAATATTTTTCCATGACTTTCCATGCACGACAGCTATAAATTCCAGGATTTTGCAGGGTTGTGGCAGAACCCTGTGAAACAGTCTCATCTTTAAAAAGTTAGAAAAGATCTTGCATTTCATTAAACCAAGCTAGCTTTGCTCCTATGAAAACTGTAAGACCTGCTCCATCAAAGAAGTGTGCACCATATGTTGGTAGCAACAAGAAAATCAACCAATCATGAAATTAATATTTGAATTTGACTGCACGCTTTCACTTCCATGATTTTCTTCCCTGATTTTGAATTTGTGCGAAATCAATCAGTGACCATTTAAGAGGCAATTTTCCATTCCTCTTTAATTTTTTCCAGACAAGACATTCATGCATGTGATCTGTCCGAAAAGTCCAACTGTTGTTTCAAATTTCATCACCAATTACAACAAAGTCAAAATAAGGAGAAGTAAAAAAAAAACCAGTTTCTCGTCCCGGCCCGCTTCCTATTTGGAGGCCGCCTGGATTTTTTTATTATTTTTTATTTTTGAAAAATGTAGTAGAAAAACACCGAAAGTCTACAAATTCATCGGAAAATAAATACCAATACAATACAACTCTAAATGACACTGTAAATATGTTCAGTTCTCTTGTCCAACACATTGTCTTTCATCTTTAAAAGTTTCTTTCAACAGTGGAACACCAACGGTTGCAGGAAATTTTGAAAAGGCGGTCATGTTGACAAAAATAAATAATAAAAAGCCCCGCTTCCTCCTTTTAAAAAAAAACCCGGACGAGAAACTATTTTTTTTTACTCGGCCTAAGGAGAAACAATTTAGGAAAGACCTGGTTTTGTGCCAAATCTTTTCCTTAACTATGACAATTTGAGGTTCCTGGGTGCACATTGTGATGAGTTTTGATGGAGCAGGTTGCATGCTTAGTTTGACTCACCCTTAAGGTCATCCCAGTCACTATGGTGATGGTCATCTAGCCTGCCTTGCCTAGTCTAGGCACTGGTCTGGTCAAGTCCAGCCTGCTATAGGGCAGCATGCAAAAGTCTGTCTGATCTGAGGAAAAAAAATTTTCAAAACAATATTCAACTTACTAAGCAATTTGATAATTTGTGTTCAATTTCTCTTTGTTTGGGGGGGCAGATTATTTTGACGTTGGTGGCGTCACTTTCTGACTTCCGCACCCCTATTCTACTCAAAAATAGGCCACCTTATTATCACCAAGGGCAAATCATGGGATTAAAAATAATAAATTACCCCCCTAAAAATAAATAAAATTGACAAACCTCTACTCTTGGGGGCTCAAGGCCCGAGCACCCCCCCCCCCCCCCCCCCCCCGGTGCGCCACTGTTTGCAACATTTATGAAGTCAAAAAAATTGAGTCAGAGCTGAGGGGGGGGGGGGAGCCTAGGTTGTGTAGGAAACAAAAGCCGCAAATTGAAGGGCGGGTTGAGCCACACATAGCCCACCCCTTCCCATCTTACAAAAGCCCCGCCCCGCCATCACCCCCCCCCCCCCCCCCGGCCCCCGCTACATCTGCACAGTATGCAACGGTCCAAAATGCAAGACAACTAAGTAGCAGGTTAGGTTCACTACGACGCTCACCTACTTGGCAGACCAATACTCATTACGTAATCAGTATTTGAAGACTCTCGTAAAGTCATTTGGGCAATGCACATTTTATCTCAAAATATGAGCACCAAGCGTGTCCAAATTCCCGCGCCTCGCCGAACAAAGATGGCTGACTTCAAGTTTCGCTGGTAGCAGCGTAAATAGCCTACATGATAATTCTATAGAGTTGATGAAATACCAGCGAAACACGTGCAGTTCTAGTTAAAGAAGACGTCTGCGCGCGCATTCATCGATAGACTTAATTAAAGCCTATTACCACAGAACTAGGACGCAGACTATTATGTCCAACAGTGAAAGAGGCAAATCAGACTTGAATAAAGACAACACAGAGACAACGCTAACGTTTATAGAAGGTGATTTTGAACCCCCCCCCCCCCCCTCCACCGCGGGATATTCCTTGTTTTGCCAGGATATTGTGTCCCTGACAGTTTCTCCTAGAAAATAGTATCCCCTCCATGAGCCAAGGGCCGAAATTTGGCACATCCGGGACGGACCATCATAAGGGACTAATTCCTATTATGATTTTGAGTTGGTATTATGACTGTCTCTATAAAATGACGCCTTGGATGATGTCACTAATATAAGCGCAATCGAATCCAGGCTACACAATCATCAGTCTTCATTTCGCTTCAGTAACAATAAACTGTGTTCTTATAAGCAATACTCGGTTAAAACTCGAATTTTGATTTATTGGCGGAAAATAGCGCCGTCGGCCCTTAATGTACGTCATAACAAAATGAGGAATAACCCCCAATTTGACTTTTTGATAGTAAACACCCATGTTGAAGGGCAATTCCTTTGTTTTCCAGTAATAAGAAAATGTGCAAGTAAAATGTCCAGTAATAAGAAAATGTTGAATGTGGCCCTTCATAATAAACAGGATTGTACCAATCATCGAAAATCGGCAATCACCACACTCCATGCACAAGACAGTAACCGGCCTTCAGTTCAATTCCTTGAAATTACTCAATCGGTAACGGTTCCGCATGGCAAAGCTAAAAGATGTACATATCGTCACCGACACCACGAAGTAACACTCTACCGTGTTAAACCATATTTTTTTCGATTTTCGTGTTTTTTTTTTTTTTAATTATTCATCAAGGCCTACCATTGCACGAAGTTTCAAAGCTTGAAGAGCTTTACTTTAATAATTACGCTAAGTATCCATGGCAAGTTTTGCTCAAAAGTGACAATTTTCGTTTTCACGAAGTAACACTCAAGTTCCATTTACCATTGCAATGCATGGCGCGCACTCTGCTGACAAGTGAGCAAAAACGTTTTCACGAAGTAACACTCTTCTTGTAACAAGTTGTGTGAGCGCGCGCGCGCTGACGTGACCTGAAGTTGCACTTTCCTCGTGTCAATACATTGAAGACTGTTAATTCGTGTAAACGAAAATTTACAGTTTCGCAGCCTTTTCGGTTTCACGAACTAACACTCATCTTTTTTCTCTTATTTCTTGTTTATACACAAACGGGTGAAAAACAGCAGATTTAATAAATTCAATTCATCAGGTGGTTGTCAACGAGAAACCCAACTGAAAATACTCTGTCGTTTTGACACAAAGTGTCTTTTTAGAAGGCGTTCAACTTTAGTTGCCGTTTTCTCCGATTGTTAGTTTTTACTGGTATATAGATGGGTGTTACTTCGTGGTGTCGGTGACGATATGGTGTACGTGACTTGTATAGGTTGGACATGTGGTTTATTATGATTCTTTTTTCGCTCACTACGTACCACGGTGTAGGCTAATATCTTTTGCTTTGGTGAACTTTTAAATCGACAGCCTGAGTGCGTTTTCTAAATTAAAGGTTTCTGTCACAGTTTACCCTTTTGAAGAGCGAATGACCCAGTCCTATACGCAAACCATGTATTTTAACCTTTCTTTATCCATAGTTTTAACCGCTATGTTCCAACAAAATTACTAATCAGAGTAATTTTCCAATATAATCTTCAAATCGTTTTCACCATGCAAAAAGATGGAAACTAGATCCTGTCAATATTTTTTTTTGGGGGGGGGGGGCACAGCGCCAGTTTTATTTCGCAAAATAAACTCACCTTTCATTCCACACCGGCATTATTCTTTGTCTGACCTCTTGAGGGCGCAATGTCAGTACACTGTTGGTCGTCTGCTGCGTGCGTTTGTGTGTGGAACCATAATTGCTTCAAATGCTTGTGTGGATGGGAAGGTTTTTTGAGGTAACTAATTGATTTCGGTTTTCCCTGAAATTTGGCAGTAATGATGAAAAATGTGACCTAGCCTTTATAACTGAGAATGGGTTTAGATGGGATGCCAAGATTTTGGAGTTCCAAGGTGTTGGACCAGACCGGCTGGGGGCGCGGGCGGGCGGGGGGGGGGGGGGGGGGGGCAAAGCGGATATCTGTGTCTTCCTTGCACCTTACCTTGGTTGGTGCCTACTTATTTTAGGCCTGTCATTGTCTGTACTAAGTTCTAGTCTGTGGAATAGACTGCAAAGGTCTATGACATTGATATGCCAGTGGATTCGGTGATGCAAAACAAGACTGCGTCTTGACTTGACATCGAGATTCCGACCATTCAGCAGGCGCCTTGTATCGGGTCTTCCGTAACCCGTTGTGTTACAAAAACATTTCATCAAATTTTACCAATCAACAGTTAAGTCCACATTTCTGATTGTTTCCGAAAAATGTATGCACCGGTAGGCCCCCCCCCCCCCCACACCCCAAGTTTAAATCTAGTAATGTACGCCACCAGACATCGACAGTGCACACAGCACAGCATAACATTTCCCCATCCTTCTGATGCATCTGTGAAAGGGAACATTGTAGGCCTACATGGTCAGTCTGCCTAACGTTTCGCCATATCATGTCTAACAGCTGAAAAACGCAGGGACATGAACCCTAACACCTGTTGAACAGTGACTTACTCTTTTAATGTGTTTTGTTTTCTAGAGGACTTTGACAAGAAATGAGCCTAGAGTCCAATGTGTAGTCCACAGGATCGCATTGAGACACTGATTGGTCATTTGCGAGAAGGCTGCGAAGTTCAGGTAGGGCCTGGATTACAGTCAGCGGTGTTCCTAAGCAGGACACTTTACCACAATTGCTTCACTCTCTGAGAATCTGGCTTTTATACAACGCCTGAATAAATCCCCTCCATGTGATTGATGGGTCGTTGATCACGTGTCATTGACTTATGCTCCCAAACAATAGTCCCAAAGCCGAGAAGTTCCACTCTATAGTACTAGTTCAATACCAATCAGATACGAGGATTTATTCAGGCATTGTATAAAATGAGTGTTAAATTTTAATACAGGTTTTGAAAGATGGATAAAGATACGGCCCACAGTGTGACTGTAGGAAATATGTTGGGTTCCAAAATATAACTCTCATCAGGAGTAACGGTTTTTACCGGGGAATTCTGTAAAAAAAATTTAAAGAAGATTTTTTTTTCGTTCTGTTGCAGTCAACCCCTCACCCTGTTCAGCTGAATGAGACAGCCATGGCCAACAGCCCACTGACCACCCATGTACTAGACACAGCTCTCGGACGACCGGCTCAGAACCTTAACATTGACGTATTCTTCCAGAGATCCGACTCGCAGGAATTTGACATCATCGCAAAGGGGTATAGTACTGAAAAATCACAGTGTTGAAAGATGCCTATCAACTTAGCAAATTTAAAAAAAAAACTAAAAATGAATTTGAATGTAAACATTTTATAAAGATTTCTATGACTGTATTATGCAAACATTGAGTGTGTGGTTTTTTTTTTTAAAGGTATTTTCCTTTTTTTTCTTCTAAATAAGTGTTTGGAAGGACTTTCAGGCTGATAAATTTTGGGTTCTTGTTGCAGGAAAACAAACAACGATGGCAGGGCTCCAGGCCTACTGACTCAGGCTCAGTTTGTGTCTGGTGTCTATAAGATCAAGTTTGATACTGGTAACTACTTCAAGTCCATCAACACCAGAGGTTTCTACCCCTATGTAGAGGTAACAGCAAAATCAGTCTTTCTTCTTCCAAACACCTTTCTTGTTGACTTGGTGCCCTTATTCTGCAATGCACTTCTCATTTGGCTTGAACTTATAGGGAATAAACAACATTTGCTTTCTTCTGTAATTTTCAGAAATGGATGGATTTGGGGGGTTAGTATTTTATAGAAAATATAGTCCAGTAAGGTATTTCATAATAATTTGGTTGTTTTGTTTTCTGATGTTTGCAAATGTATATTTTCTTTGACAACTGACCTTTTGTCCTCTGACAGACTCGGTCAAGTCTAGCCTTGTTTAAATAATTATTTTTGAATGGCATATCATGCTGTATAATGTTGTGTTATTGGTCTTTTTTTGCAGATTGTGTTTGAGATAGTGGACCCTAGCCAACACTACCACGTGCCGTTACTACTGAGTCCTTACTCCTACAGCACCTATAGAGGGAGCTAGACAGCAGACAGGAGGTGTGAAATGGGGAGGGGCTATGAGTAGGATTAAATGGGGGGGGGGGGGCCAATAGCAATTATATTCTCATATTGTCATAATCCTGGGAACCGAACCATTAGTGGTAGATGGAATATTAAAGCAAGTAGTCTCTTTTCCCCAGATCGAGTAGACCCTCACATCTGCCGTTGCCTTTTGATGAAGAAGGGACAGAAATTATTCTTAATAGTTGCGTTCATGTACCTGACTAAAAACAATCTCCTGCCTTTTGTGAATTTTTAAGTTGATCCTAAACCTCATGATCTCGTATCTCTTTCCTCCCTCCTTCCCCTATACCCCAACCCAAATAAGGTCTGCTGACATTGCTTGGAAGATTTAAAGGGGAAATAAAGACTTTACCAAGGTTTTTATTGAATATATATATGTATCACTGTAAAATTTCATTTTAAAAATTTTACCATAAAAATTTATTTAAATCAAAGTCACATAATTCAGGTTATTTAAGGTGGAAAGGAAAATTAGTCGAAGAGAAAATTGTATTGGTATTAATTTACTCCTGTAGTTTTTATTGATCATAACTGTTTAATTAAGAATCTGAAGTTTTCCAAATGACTTTTTTTGTGAATGTTTGTTTGATAAATTACTTATTTAATGTTTGTTAAAATAAAAGACATTTGTATTTGAACATATTATGTTCTGTTGTAATTATATTAAGAAGAGTTTGTAGTTTACCCCTCCCACAAAGTGCGGAGTTCTCGAGTGTGAAATTTAGTCGACTTTGCACTTTGCTATTTTTGGATTTTGTCGGATTCAGCAAGCTAGGGTCCAAAAAAGCCGGGAAAGTGGGGGGGGGGGGGATCTTATGGCGTACGTGACATTAGAAGTTTGGAACCCACATCTGGGGTGGAAGGACAGGCTACCAGTCTGTTAACATCGGGAGTGACGTCACTAGATACATCCGGGTACTCAAATAATTCTCCAAGATGGCGCAGTTTGAGGACCTCGGAGAGCTCTGTAAATCCTGGGAGAAAGCGGGCCGAAATGAGTTGTAAGTTACACCCTTGAAGGACTATTACACCCTGTGTATTGCTGATAGTGTCAAGAAGAGCCTGGCTCGCAAAATGTGTGTGTTTGAAGAGTTTTTGTTCTGGAAAAGAGGGTTTTCTGGCAGCCAAAATGAAGCGCCGGAAATCGTGCAGCTTCGCAGGTCGTCCAGATTCACCACCATGACCACGTTCACACTCGTTCTCGCAGCACCGCCGCCACTGAGAGGTTGCAACGCAGTCACGTGACGAGCATCTATCCAGTCAAGGGCAGCGTTGGTGGAAGAAAGTTACCCTTGCGAGATAGCTTCCCACCTCGAAATGCTCAGCTGAAATCCAGTCGTCAATTCCTCTGCCAAGATAAAAATCTGCGTCAACTCATCACCTGCAGCTGGGCCGAATCCTTAAGCCAAAAAAAGTCTACAATTTGTCGACAAGAAGTCCATCAAAGCAGCCGTTACAAGTCCGTAACCACACTCAAGAGGAGCTTAAAGGACCAGCAAGTTGACCATCCCGACATCAAGCGTGATCAGTTTCATACAAGCCGACAAGTCATGCAAGTCAAGAGCTCAATCACAACATCACTCCTTTGGCCAGTCTTGCCAGTTAGAGACTGAAAAGCAACGGTGGTTTTAGCCATCTAGGCCTACTGACATTTATTCCGATTCCCTCCCAGTAATGAAGAATCTGAAGATGGAAAGATCGTCCAACATGTCCAAGTTCCTTCAGCTTATTCAGCTGTATTCATCGCTTGAGGATGATGGACATTTCTTCTGAATAGCTAACATGACCAGTGACATTCAGATTCTCTTGAGTTACACAGAGAATCCGTAATGGTCTTGTGTTAGCCCAATCATCAATGCCCCACCAGTCATCCCAAATCGTCAGTCAGATGAAGAGCGGCCTGCTGTTCTGTTGCACCCACCATCACAGATTCCATCGTGGACTTTGAAAAGCCAGAATTTCATCATCTACTCTGATGATACCAGATGATGATGTACAAATGCTTCTTCCAGTTTCTCCCCATCTTCAAGCTGATATGAAATCCAAAGATTCAAATCTGCTTTCAACCCCTGCCCCCCTTCAAGTTTCTCCCCAGGAGTCTGCCAGCGATGACCATTCAGCTATTGAGGTCATTCAAAAGCAAGATTCGTCATTTGCCCCATACGCCCTGCAACTTCTCAATGACCCAGCATGACCGTGACACCACCCTCCAGCTTCGCATCTTCAAAGCTCTGTGTGATATCGAGTCATCGACCATCATCTTCTCTATTCCGAGTCCCAAGCAATGCTGTGACGCAGAAATGGAACCTGCTCAAAAGGATCTACACACCTCTATCACTAGTATCAGGCACTTCAGCCCTTCACCAAAATCTGCATAGTCTTCCAACGTCAGTTCTACACTGTGATGATCTGCAACTAATTTGAGCATAATCTTGCAAGCATGTGAGATTCCCCTGTTACTAGGAAACAACTCACCTTTTGCACTGAGATCACATGCAACTCCGAAGGAACAAAGATGCTGATTCTTCAGTGTTTATGTCATTTTAAACCTGTGTTTTCCCAGCATGAGTGTTACAGCTCCCCCCCCCCCCAAAATGTAGAATTCTATGACGTGGACTTCTGTAGTCATTCTGAATGTTCTACCAAACCTACCTGGACCAAAGTTGAGTGTACACTTGCCAGACTTTTCTTAGTCTACTGTTCTCCACTTCAGACCACCTGCCTTCCGCATCCTTGAACAAACAGCCCAGATAAAAGTGACATTTAACCATCTCAGGAACTGCTGCATCAACTTTGGACTTGGAGAAACATTTGTTCACGGTATTTCATTGAATTGCGCCAAACAACTTCTCAAAATACCGGTAACTGTACAACTCAACCATTTTGCATCAGGATCATTGATGACTGTGAATTACATTTGCATTGCCTTCCTTCGGATGAAACAATTTTGTTTACAAACTATAAATTTGTCTGAATACTAGTAAAGAGCACAGAGCAACCCTTAGTAGTTAACATTACACATAATGCTGCAACTAATGTGCAAAACTGTGACCAATGTGGGGGAAGGATAGGGTACCAAATATTTTTTGTTCAAAATTATGAGATTCTAAATGACATCATGTGATACCACTTGCCAAAATATTAACGCTATGTAAGCTAACTTATGTTTTCCAATCTGGTTGCTGAGTTTCCCGTCTTTAAACAAAAACAAAAAATCTGAAATTTATATTTTCAATATATAAAAAAAAAAAATACTGGAATTACCAAAGGGTGTTGGCATGAACTTTTGAAGAGAACTGAAGCAAAAAATACTTGCATGTTTTCTAGAATAGAGCCTTGGCACTTTGATCAGGCAATTCCTCTTGATACTAAACATTGTTCAAGAACTAGATCACCATTTTCCTGGATCATGAAAATGTCATCAAGTTGCACAATGTCAGTACCCATCAGTAAAATTATTTATGGGAGTCCGGTGTTCCAAAACAAAAACAAAAAACAACAACAAAACACAAAAAGGGTACTGGATGAAGTTTCAAGTTTGATTTGAATTCAAATTCAACTTACATGTTATACTTTTTCTCCTTGAAAGAACTTGTCTCATTGAATAAGTAGTTTACGTTGTTTTTGTTTTACTTAAATTACATAATATGATATCAATTTAAAACAAGAACTACTGAGCATTATGAGATCATTCTTTGATCATAATTCTATACCTTTGATCAATGTAACTACCAGTTTACAGTCAATACAAAAGAAATGGTTTGTACCAAGACAGTAATAACAAGATCTTTCGGATTAGAAAGAGACAAATTCCTATGAAGTAAGACTGTATTGTCTGTACAAGGGGAGGGTAGAGAAGAACCAATTTTGTTCAATAGACGATTTTAGGGGGCCTTTATAAGAGTGTGTTTTGTAATTACATTTTGACATTGCTCAGCTAGAAAGCAAATTATTATGTTTAGTATCTTAATTTCTTGCAATTTTCAGAACAGCCCTCCCTACATGCGTACATTTTTACATGTAAAATGACTAGGATATTTTAATACAAATGTAGCTACACGTAGGCGTACAAATGCCAGAAAAAAAATATGGACAAACTACAAACAAGGTTTTTTCTTGAATTGTTGGGTAATGCTGAGGAGAAGGTGATAGCTTTTGAAAGTACAGTTTCAAGTAACCTTCCATTCTTTATTTTGATGATGCCTGGTCACAAATTTGAAGGACCTTCATATAATGGTGGTCTTTGTGGAAAGTACTTTTAAAGGGAATATACAACATTTGCTTTTGGTGTAGTTTTCAGAAATGGATGGATTAGGGGGAGGGAGGGGTCAGTATTTTATAGCAATATTGTTAAACGGAGTTGTTTGAAGTTTCGTGTTCGTAGATGCTGGAAAAACCAAGAAAAACAATCTTGTTTCTGTAGTCTGGTTCCCTTACCCTGCTGGCTTGTACCCATTCATAGATGTGTAATCAATCGCAAACAAAATGCGGACTCACTAAACATGGTAAATTGGGGGCAGTATCTGAAAAAGCGAGTTTTTTTCAAACATTGGTCGGCCAACCAGCATTGGAAATTGATACAAAAATACAATTTTCTTGATTATGACAGCACACCAGATGCCATGATTTTACAGGACGCTTTAGACTGTCATTCACGTACAGTCCAGTAAGGTATTTCATCATAGTTTTGTCTTTTGATGTTTGCAAATGCATATTCCTTTTAATACAAATGTAAGTCATTTATTTGTGCTGATTCTATGCAAATTTTAAACCACATGGATTTTTTTTATATTCCATGTTTGCTTAAACAATACAATCTGAAATATAAATTGTAGTGTAATTTTGAAAGTGAAAGTCAAAATAATTTACCATTATCATAAAGGTGTGCAATTGAAAAATATTGACATATACAATTAAGGATAAACGCAAAGATTTGAATTCACAATCTAGAAAAATCCCTTTCAACTTAAGTAATCAAACCAAAATCTTTAAATCAAACCCTGTGTTTCTCAACAATTAACTTATTGCGGTAGAATCGCGTCAACGCAGCTTGTGAAATATTGTCCAATTACATTATATATACAAATAGACGCGGAACGCGCAAAATTCCGAGGAAGACAAAACTGAACGTACAAAATTCCAAAGGGTTGTCTAAGGGGCGTGGCTAACTTGCAAACGGCGATAGGTCAATTACATATGAATTTCTTTTAAAACCCATAATGTATGTTTTGAAGTATGAGATTTATTTAAATGTTTAAGATAATGGAAAAAGAAAACCAATAAAAGTTTTTGAAATATCAATGGAATTGTGTGTGTGCTGACTTAAAGTTACTTTGCAGCTAATTACAAATCTTGCCTTGCAAAAAGTTAAATTGTTTTTGTCATTAGTGATTTTCTAGATTACCAATAACATATTTCCCCCCTGCAGTTCAAATAGTGCTTAATATTTTCAAAAATTCTTTTTCATATTTTGAATATGCCTTCTGTATTGTAATCTCTTTTTGTTTGCAAAATCTTGTAAAGTCGAGTGAAGATTATGATTCCCAAAAAGTCATCACTATATACAGTATACTGAAAGGAATCAGATTTTAGATTGATAAAATTCTAGCTGCATTTTTTGCACCCCCAAAAGTGCAATTGCTGTAATCCTTGAAACGTACACATTTCTTATTATGTGTTTGACTTGTAGCCTGAAGCAGTGCCGTTCACACGTGGCTGCAGCTTCCAATGATGGCGTTCTGTCAGCCAACACTCAAGGTAATGACCATGCTTAAAACTAACATTTCTGTTCATTTCTTACTAGCCCTTTTGGAATATTCATTGCAAAATCCATTGCACTGACTCCCATGAAATAACATTTGACTGAATCAAACTTTGCAGTGACAACTGATGACCTTCGCATTCAATAAAAAATTATGAAAAAAAGAAACTGCAGCGATTGTTTGGAGAATGCTTTTTAAAAGTTAGTTCATGTGGTACATTCTTATTTGCCAGTGGATCAACTCTCTACTATAAAAAAAAGCGACAGAAAAGTTGAATGAAACAAAAAGTAAAGCAAGCCTAAACCCAAGAATTCTATCTTTAGTGGGAATACTAATTTACAGGTACTTCAACCCAAAACCCCTTGTGTGATTTACTAGGAACTGTCCTCACTCGTGCAAATTCTAACACCGCACGGTGAACTCAACACCCAAACTGTTGGACTCTGATTATGGTGGTATGCCTCGTCCCATGTATTAAAAGCACAATCAGTTTCTAGTGTAGTACTCACTCCAACAGATTCCAACAAAACGTGCAGTTGGATTTTGAAGGGTTGGGGTGGTTAGGGTCAGTTGTCTAGAATGTTTGCAAGGTGGATTCTACAAGATTTTTAATTTTTTTTTTAATATGTTAGTTCACTCTTTTTAACACATGAAATGTCTAGACTTGTGTTCCAAATGTTAATAAGATCCTCCTCTCCGCCCAAAAGAGTTGGGTCAACATTACATTTTCCTATTTACTGGCTTGCAGGACTGCGTGATGCCCTGTATGGTTTTATACGCCAGTGTCTACAGGGCGCCGTCCAGCCAGATGTCGCAGCAGCTGCCCTCGGCGAAGTCTCAGTAAGTAATCTCCATAGGGTGAAAATTGGTTTTGTTAATATCAGGCCTGTACCTACTTCAAAGCTTTGATGGAAATTGGCACTGTAATCTTTGTTGGAACTAAAGTTCTAAAATGAGTGCCCACTTTTTAATTCCATTAAAAAAAGAGATTGCATTTTGAAATTCTTAACAATTTCATAGTTTGTTTAACCCTTTGTTTAAACTGCCCTGCCTATTGATCACTCTAGCGCCCAAAACCGCCGAGCACCCGATGGTTTTGGAGATTCTTCAGTGAATAAACACGTTCAATGTGCAGTTGCTAATTTTTTCCCCAGCTTTTTCTCCAATAAAAGACTGCCAAAATGTTTGACCTTGTATAGGTAATTTCTATGCATGACTTCTAGTTTCCTAGTCTTTTCTTTGTAAATATCGTTCAATAAATGGCAGAAATCTAATCATGGATCTAAACTCTCTGTTAATGTCTTCACTTTCCTCAGCACATGCACGCTGGAGTGAGTTCTCTCATAGCAGACATCTTCAGCATCGTAGGTAAGGTTTTTTTTTTATATCTGTGCAAACCCCCAGCACCCTTTCCAACCTTTGCCTTGGAGAATCTCAACATCTTTTTTAAATGTTGCAAAGTTCAGAAAAATATTTGAAATTGCCCTTCTTATTACCGGAAACCTGATGACAGCCTCTTTTCCAGTCATGCAACACAGAATCTTTTATTGGCAAAAAGAACAACAGGGCCCCACAATCATGTTTCAAGGAATTGAAATCTTTAAAGGGAATATACAACATTTGCTTTTGCTGTGATTTTCAAAAATGGATGGATTTTGGGGTGGTTAGTTATTTATAAACAGTCCAGTAAGGTATTTCATGACAATTTGGTAGTTTTTTTCTTTTTTGATGTTTGCAAATATTGTATATTTCCTTTAAACTGTCCATTGTCCTTGCAGATATCGAAACCACGTGTCTGGAGACCAAACCAGAGACTGATGCGGAGACTAAGTCGGAAAGAGAGAACATGCTTGAACTACTCAAGAAGTGTAAGGTGAGATAAATGGTTTGGAATCAAGCTCTGTTGTAAAAAAACCCAAACCAAACAGTTTCGTTGCCTCCTGGAACGGATTAGGAAATGTCGCAAAGAAGTGCCATTCGTTTACTGTGCAGTGTTGGACTTCAGGATTTTCCCAAGGAATTATCCACAGCGAGGTGATTAGTGTGACTATAGCATAAATAGACCCTTTCCACACGGGAGCCACCTTGGAGATTTTTTTTTTTTAATTTCAATCCAGTAACAATGAGGTCTCATTTGTATGCCTGTTGAAGCAAAGCATTTACCTCAAACATGGCTGCCTTGCAAAGGATCTATATATGACTCGGCTTGCTTTGTGATCTGAAGTCGATATTGAACATGTTTTTCTCAACATAACATTTTTTGTAGGTTTTTCTGACGGAACCTGTACTCAAGGAACGCATGGAGTATGAAACCCTTGGTGAAGTCAAAATCATCAAGAAAGACACTTTCAAGCAGAAATATGTCCGACTCAAAACCAAAGTATTGTAAGTATGTTAGACAAAACAGAGAAAAATCCCAAAAAACTTTACACATTTAAAAACACATGTAAGATAATACTCTGTGAAAATCAAGCAACTCTACATATAAAAACTGATTATGAAAATGAATTAAATTCCTGCAAACTGCTTACTGACTGGATGGACCTGAAATATACAAATCAACAAACCTAGCTGGCCTAACATTTTGGTCTTGCTGAAAACAAAAACTGATTATGCTTAAGACTATAACTGATAATGCTAGAAACGCATGGAGAGGATATAACCAAGTTTGAATTGTGATGTGTACGAACTTGTATGGTCTGTGAAAACAAAGCTAGGGAAAAATACTCCACGCACCACATTTACTATACTTAACGATATCTGATTACTAGTTACAAGCAGCAGAAGTTCAATCTTCTACGTGAGGAGAGTGAGGGGTACAGCAAGCTAGGGGCAGAGCTAGCCCAGGTCAACTCCAGCCAGAGCAACCATGAACAGCTGCTGGAGAGCATCAAGTCGCTCATAGGTCAGTGAAGTCCGTAGTTTTACCTATTGACCACTTCCAGATGCCAGGTGGCTGGCCCAAAACTTAATTGGAAGTGAGTAGATAGTTGCCTCATGCTTATACAATTTTTTTTTTGTGTAAAAATGTTTGTGAATTAGTGTAAATTGAAAAACAGGGCATTATATGCCCAATTAGATATCTTTGGATCATGAATCCCGTCATTTTTTCCCCTTTCTAGGTTGCTTTGATCTGGACCCCAATCGAGTGCTAGACATTATACTGGAGGCCTTTGAATGCGCCCCACACTTGGACAACCTGTTTGCTCCACTGCTGCAGAACTACATGTGTGAGCCGATGACAATATGCCACGTCTTAGGGTTCAAGTTTCACTTCTTCAAGGTGAGTGATTGCACTCTAAAGAGTTCTTCAATCATGACTATAAATAAACTGTGATTGGAATAATCTCTTTAGGTTTGTGGAAACATTCAGTCATCTTGAACTTTTCAAGAAAGGGGTGGGAATTTGTATAAAGTTCGATTTGAATCTTGTGTAATTATGTATTCTGTACATGTTATTAAACAGCCTGCCACCATTTCAGTCATGTTCCCTGTTTCCAATAACAGTACTGAATGGTAAATTTTTTTGCGCAAAAAGGAACCAGACTATTTTTCCTTCCAGCCTCACTTTGGTTACATTGATTTGAATGGGAAAAAATCAAGATGGCTGCAAAATGAAAATGGTCTATACACCATGTTTTAAATGATGCATTAATGTTAGAATGTCAATGCATCAAACTTTTTTCAATTTATTTTAAACTATAGGAAGAGAATATCACTACTCCAGAGTCTCTGCACAGACTAGCTGCGTTACTACTACAACATGAACTGGTTGGCCTAGATGACCTATATCCACATGTAAGTATACGTCTGCCTCCACTTACACAAAGATCACATTTTTTTGCCATTTATTATTACCCCTGAACAGCAGGCCTTTAGATACTCCTGTTATGTTTGAAATCTATTCTACACTCTTAAAATTAACATAGAGCATTTACTGTGCACAGCACTTATACGCACTGTATTTGTTTGAATTGTTTTTTTTTAATGGAAAGTCAGCATTGATATCTCTGCTGGGTCTTGAAATTGTTTTTACTTGATTTCAAAAAAAAAAAGGCTGAGCATACAGCACCTCAAAGTGCTACATTTATATGAAACGTGAATATTTGTTAAATGAAAATTTTTTCATTAATTTTTTCAGCTGATGCCAGCTGACACAGATATCATACAGAACTACAAGAAGTCCATCACGGAGGCTCGTCAGTTTGCCCGCAAGATGACCATCGTCCTCCTGTCCGACCGAGAGAAGGAGGAAGAGGAAGCAGAGAAGGAGAAGAAAGAGAACAAAGACGATAAGGTGAGGCCATTATGGACTCCGCACGCAAACTGTAGAGGGCGCTTTCTGGTTGCTCGTGAGAATTCCATTGGCTAATACACCAAGCAAAACTTGCCATAAAATTGGGGCTTAGTTCTAGAGAGAAAATTAAACAGAGTTTTTGTTTTGTTATCTAAATTTAATTTTCTCTCCTCCTCGTAATTGTTTTTTTTTCTGGCAGCCTGCTGATAATCAGAAGCTAGGCCTGATTGAAGCCATGCTGAGGATTGGGGACTGGTCCCACGCCAAGCAGCTGATGGACAGACTGCCGCAGTACTGCGCTGTGGCTAATCTCCCCGTGGCCAGTGCCCTATGTGACCTGGTCGGTGCGCTGATTGACCCCCTGTACAAACAGTGAGTCAATTATTACTTGTGTATCCAGACAAAAGTTATCAGATAAGTGGGTCAGTGCAGAAACGTCATACCCGTTTCAAACTGGTGTTCCAAAGTCATTGCAAATTAAATTATATTGGGAACGAGTCAGTCTCATTTTGCTGTCGGCAAATGTGTTATGTTTGCAGTAACAAGACTCTAGGGAGTATAGTTGTTACTTGTTTATTTCAGTGTAGTTCTAATTCAAATTTGAGGAATAACTTTCAATACACAACATGTATAAGGCGGCAGTATCTGAAAATGATAGTCATTCAAAGGCGCTGGTCAAGGAAATGTCAATACATGTGACAGTGAAAGTCAGTATGTGAGAGAGGAAGACTTAATAAAGAGGTGGGTTTTGAGATGACGCATGAAGAGAGATGGGTCCTGTATTGCCCTCAACTTACAAGAAGTCCCAGAGACGTGGTGCAAAGCTGGCAAATGCAAATGCACAGTCTTCAAAGGCTGCCCAACAAGTCTTAGGGACAAACAGTATATTGGACGATGACCTCAGACCTCCGAGTAATTTTGGTGTGGTATAACTCTGGAATGCCAGTCTGAAACGGTGGAAGTTTACTGGACGGAAGCCAAAATTCCTTACTAACCCCTGAAATACACTTGCTTCCTTTTCCATTTCTGTTGGATATTGTCACATTTTTGTGTGCTCCCCGTTGTCTTCACAGGTATGGTATGCCCAAGGGCGCCAAGAGCAAAATCCTCACCCCTCCGGCAGGCTGCAAGTCCGTCACCGTCCCAACCAAAATCCTGGACCTTAGTCCCACCTTCAGGATGTGCAACTACCTGGGGGCCTATGCGGGCTGCCAGCCGGCTTTACTCTGGAAGCTGGTCCGACTGGGCAAGGTCCTCATGAGCAAGAAAGCCTCGGCCAGGGAATCAGAAAAGGAACAGTGGGTGAGTTGATGACCGAACATTTTGCTGTTTTAGTACTTTATTGAGAGTTCAAAAAACTAAACAAAAAAAATCACCCCAATTACTAAAGGATTCACTTCTTTTCGTTTAATGTTGGACACATACTCTCTATAATGCTTAAGGGATAAAGAAATCCCTATAATTTATAAAATATGAAATGATATCACCAACTTGACGTTCCTGAAAGTTGTAGTGAATTTCATTTGTTGAAGAATGAGTAGTGTTGGTCTTATTTCTCGTCAATCTGGTAAATTGCTATGGTTGATACACTGTAATTGCCAAATTGAGTCAAATGAATTGGGTAAGGGTTATATGTGTGGCCATGGTGTTAACATCAGGGTTATCTAGTGCAAATTCTTAATCTCCCAAATAGCATTAAAAAAATAAAAATTCTTTTTAGTTTTTCCACAAATTAATAAAGATATTGCTGGGGTTTTTTTTCTGTTTAGGAGGAAGTCTACCGTAATTTGCTGTCGTTGATTGAAGGGAGTCTACTGCCCTCTATGAGCACACTAGACAACAACGCATGTCTGTCTGAGGAGATGTGGACCCTACTCAAACTCATGCCATACAACATCAGGTAACAAAATATTCCCCTTAACTGTGTCTCGTGCCTTTTTGATCTCTTACATTTTCAGATACGGAAATGGGACAATTATCGGCACAGAATTTGAAATGGTGAACTGGATTTGCTTTCCAATGTAGGGCTGTGCATCGGAACCGGGTACCTGAGTACCGGACCGTTAATGTCAGGAACCAGGTCCAGATTATGGAATCGGGTACCCGTAACCAACTTTACAAATTACTTAGTAACTCCTCAGACAGTGAAAAGGAAAGGTTTTGAATGTCGGGTATGGAAATTTTCAAAACGAAAACCAGGCAACATGGAAAAACAAAATCATAGCCTATTGCATGTTTATGATGCTCGCAAAAGTTGCAGTTAACACCGTTAAAGCTAGAAGCTCATGCACTGTGCACATCGGTATCTTGCTGTATCGACACACAAATGGGGACCTTTATGAACAATCTGAACAGCAACTTCCAAGATTTGAAATTTTGGATTTGGGTTTCTTTAAAAGGTAACCGTGTTTTATTCAATCGGGTACCTGGTTCCTGTACTACCCGTAAATGCACACCCTACTTCAATATTCTTGCCTGCGGAGTTGTAATCAAATTATCACAAGTCAATCACAGGTCCTCCAGTCTCAGGCCTCAATAAAAATCCCATCCCATTTGGTAACATTAACTTGAAATTCATGCTTTTTTTTTTGTTTTGTCTAGATACTGTCTGTATGGGCGATGGAAGAACAACACCTATGCCGTCCACCCTCCCCTGATCCGGATCAAAGCAGTGATCACGGACCGTGCCAAGTACATCATGAAGCGATTGACTAAGGATAACGTCAAACCCCTTGGCCGACAGATTGGCAAACTCAGCCACGTCAACCCGGGCATCCTATTTGAATATGTAAGATTCGTGAATGTGCCAGTTTATTTCAAGTCGTTTCTTTAAATAAACATTTAAAAAAAAATTAACCTAGACGATATATTAATGCTCTGCTGAAATAATTCACTGCTGAGGAATTAAGGAATGAAAATTATAGAAAGAAACAACTTAAAAACACTTCCTATACTCTGTGTCAATCTTATTCAAGGTTACTTTGTACATTGTTGTTTTTTGGGATGAAGCAGCAAGGTCTTTCTAAAAATGGTGAATAGTTTTGGTAGTGAGTTTTTTATACTACTTTCTTTTCTGCAGGTTTTATCTACCATCCAGCGCTATGATAACTTCATCGGCCCTGTGGTAGATTCCTTGAAGTATCTCACCTCCCTGTCTTACGATGTGCTGGCGTGTATCCTTTGAGATGTGTTGCATAAATCTGATTTTATTAAGAAGGAAACAGTTGAATAGAACCTTAAAATAAATTGTGACTGGGCTTGTTTTCAGTTTGGCTGCCTCAATTCACCAAAAATAGCCGCTAGTATTTCTAAACTACATATCAGCTTTGTTTTCTTTGGTTCTCATATTTCTTTTTACGTAACAAATAATTCATTTTCCTTGACACAAATGCACTATTCAGACTGTGTGATTGAAGCGCTAGCAAACCCAGAGAAGGAACGCATGAAGCACGACGACACCAATCTCTCATTATGGATCCAGAGTAAGTTCAATTTTCTGTTTGGGATTGGAAAAAAATGGTTGGCCACATCAGTTTTTACGGAAAGAGAAGGATTTAAGAAGCTTGAAGATCTCTTCTACCAAAGAGGAAACATTTTTGTTTTGTCGCCCAGGTCTGGCGAGTTTCTGCGGCACCATGTTCCGCAAGTACAACATCGAGCTGACGGGCCTCCTGCAGTATGTGACCAATCAGCTGAAGGCTGGCAAGAGCTACGACCTGCTGATCCTGCGGGAGATCATCGTCAAGATGGCGGGGATCGAGATCACGGAGGAGATGACCCCGGATCAGCTGGACGCGCTTGCCGGAGGGGAACTGCTCAGAGCTGAGGTAAATGAAATAAAACTGTCGGAACTAGCTAGTGATGTCAAGCTGACAGGCAATTGACCGGCTAAACACACATTTGAGCATCTTTGTCATGTTATCTTTTTCCCGTTACAGTGTTAACATGTCGTACCGGCCAACTGTCCCTTTTTAACCAGTTCACGTCGGATGATGTGTATACATCAGGGGTGTGAAATCTCAGCTTTAAAGCTGATTTCAGCTTTTTTTGTTTTGGATTTCAGCTTTTTTCCAGCTTTTTCCCTCACTTACTGTGTACAAAAGTATAGGAGATTTCCAAAGTTCAGCTTTTGTACACTTTTTTCAGCTGTTTTCAGCTATTTTTATCAGTGGTCACTCACACCCCTGATACATGCAAAGGTTTTGTGGTATTCAGAACGGATGATGGATAAACACGCAACAAGCGCAATTACGCAACAAGCGCAATTATGCACTTCAGGTCTAGGTTAATCCCTTAAGCTTTTTCTCGTTATATTCCTCTCTTCAGGGTGGCTACTTTTCCCAGGTGCGCAACACCAAGAAGTCCTCTCAGAGGCTGAAGGATGCGTTCCTGACAGACCACCTGGCGGTGGCGCTCTGCATGCTGATGTCACAGGAACGGTTCAATGTGGTCTTCAAGAGCGGCACGGACGGCCACGTCAAGCTACTGGGCCAGCTGCATGACCAGGTACTTAAAGCAGATGAATTTTCCATTTCAAAAATGTCAGTCGGAAGTTGCTAGAGGTATTACTCGGATATCCATTGGCATTTTAGAAATCTTGAACAATGGAAATCATTAGGAACAGCTAACTTTTTTTCATGATATTCGACTGCTGCCATATCCATGCCAAGATTTACTTCGGAGATCATAGCAAAAATGAAGTTATTTATGGACAGACTGGGCAGCTACCCCTATCCTCCACCATCAATCAGTGTCAACTACGATGGTTTGGACATAGTTTGCGTAAACCTGACTGTAAAGATTTCTCAATGCGCACTTAACCAATCAACGAACAGAAGATGGAAAAGAGGTCATCTATTTATGTAAACTTGCCATGCTTGTCAGCATGGAATTTGTTTGAATATCTCACTGATTTTTCTTCCCCAGTGTCAAGACACCCTGGTCCAGATGGGGGGCTTCCTGGCCAACCAGCTTGGCACGGAGGACTACACCAAGCATCTCCCTGCCCTGTCCACTATGGTCACCGAGTACCATATCACCCCGGAATGTGCCTTCTTTCTGTACAGACCCATGTGTACACATGCAATCAATGTAAGTCTAGTTAACCCCTGCCCAACTTTTGTTCTATTCCCAATCGCCTTACGAAATGGATCAAAGAAAAGTTGCCATTCATTTTGGACAAAAGAAGGATTTTTCATTTTTATTGCCAAACCAAAAAAAGCTGTCCATGTATTCACCTAGTGAATATGAATCAGTGAAGTGACTGCTAAATCGTAACGTTTTTTTCTCCCCGTTCTTGCTGACACAGTCTAAATTTGATGAACTACGCAAGCAAGAACGTTCGGCCAACAACAGCTCGAAACTCAACAGCCAACAGAAGATGCAGTGCTACGTCAACGCTGTGCAGGCAGTATTGGCCTCGTTAGTGGAGAGCGTACGGGCGTTGCATATACCCAAAGTTTGGGACGATATAAGGTAAGACGTGAGTGGCTCTTTGAAAGCATGAAATCGGTTGAATATTGGTGCTTGAATATTGTGTTAAGCATGTGCACAACTTGTACAAATATAAGAGCCCACACTGATAGACTGTGCAGTGTCATGTCACATTGGGAAAATCACAATTCAAAACAGAATAGTTTATAATTCATACGATGAAAGTTTGCGTCGGGGTGATGTAAATCGTATTAGTTTTTTGGTGTTTTTTTTTCGCAAGAAACAGTGAACTTGTAGGTAATTGTTTAACTGCGCCACTTTGTTTGGATCTGACTCCTCTAGACAAAAATTTGTTAAGAGCATTTGAATCGTTGCTTCAAAATAACACGTCATTGAAACGTAATTAATAGTGGGGTCTGATGTTGTGTAATTTCCTTTTTCTCTACAGTCCACAGTTCTACTGCACATTCTGGACCCTGTCCATGTACGATCTCTATGTCCCCAACGTTAGCTACGACAAAGAGGTCAACAAGATTCGAACCCAGGTCAACAGCTTCGATGACATGGTGAGTCCTGTTTAATGAGAAATACCGAAAGACATGCTCGGCCTGGATGCTTGCCAAGTTTGATCAGAAATCATTCCCCTCTTTTTGAGGCTTAGAAATGGAAGACTGTTTTTACTCCTTTTCCTACCTATCATCAGGCTTCAACTAAGCGGAAGAAAGAGCGAGAGCGCCACAACATGATCATGGACAAACTACGGGATGAGGAGAAGAAACAAGCGGAGCACTGCGGTAGGGTACTGGCACGGCTCAAGAGCGAATGTGAAAACTGGTTCACTGCAAGTATGTACATCAGCTTCCTTTTTTCAACACCATTTAATTGTTTTTTTAAAGATCGCATGTAGTTTTCTAGTTAAGCTGCAGCATGAAGCTTTTACAAAATTATTTAACCAGTTCACGCCGGGACTATTTTGACATTGATCGACCCAGGCATAGGATTGTTTTTCATGAACCTTGATGCCAGACGGGTTCAGGCCGTCATCTGCGGGTAGCACACCCTGACGTTTCCGGCCTCACTCGCTGCGAGCGGGTCGCAGACAGATATTTCGCTCTTTGCGTGTTTATCCCTCATCCGTTCGGAATACCGCAAAACCACATCCGACACGAACTGGTTAATAACAGAACTCTGAGGTTATTGCTCGCTACGGCTCATGTCAATGGCGTCTGTTAACAAGTACCCCCCTTACTTGACTTCAAATGCATTGCTGCCGTACACAGTGACCTGGTGCCCAATTGAAGTTGATATATTTTTTGCAAGTTTAATATAAAAAAATTTGGGGGTTTGAATAAAAATTGTTTTGGGTTTGAATCCTTTTTGTTAGGGTCTACCAAGAACGAGACCATCACCCAGTTCCTGCAGCTGTGTATCTTCCCCCGGTGCTGCTTCACGGCCAGCGACGCCCTGTACTGTGCCAGGTTTGTCCTGACTGTTCACCAACTCAAGACACAAAACTTCTCAACGTTACTGTGCTATGATCGGGTAAGTCGACCCTCGTAAACATGAAGGAATGATTTTGTTTGTGTCGTAAAATGACAGTCATGTGTTTAAGATGTGAATTTGCAGTTTTTTTCTCATTTGTGGTTTTGGTTCATTGCGTCAAAATTTGTTCAGGTTTTTCAAGACATCACCTACACCTTGGCCAGCTGTACGGAGAATGAGGCCAGCCGGTACGGTCGGTTCCTGTGTGAGATGCTGAAGACGGTCCAGAGATGGCACAGCGACAAGTCCATCTATGAGAAGGTAGTCAAGGGGACTAGAAAATTTTAGAACACAGGAAGGGGTTTCGATAATCCTGGGAATTGTTAATCCTGGGAATTGTGATTCTTCAACAACAACAACATCAAGTTGTCCCTTTACCCCCTACCTGCCTCTGGATTGGCCATAGTGGACACTTTCAGGTTGTTCATGACTCTTAGTTAAAGTTTGTTTCTTGTAATGATTGAAGGAAAAAGATGTCAAAGCAGTATCCAGATTGTAACAATCAGAATGGTGGGGAGTGCTAACATGAGAGTAAAGCCATGCCTTCATATTAAATAAACTTTGTTTCCATCACTTATTTGTCAGATTTTGTCAGTCAGTTTGGCTGTATCCTGTTTTTGCAGAAGTGTTGATCCTTCTTTTCTTGATTGCCAGGAATGTGGAAACTACCCTGGCTTTGTGACGGTGCTGAGAGCCAGCGGGACTGAGTCCAGCAACAAGGCCGACCAGCTGGACTATGAGAACTTCAGACATGTCTGTCACAAGTGGCAGTACAAACTCACCAAGGCGGTGGTGTCCTGTCTAGAATCCAAGGATTATACTCAGATCAGGAACACGCTGATTCTCCTAACAAAGGTATTCGTCAGTATATACACTTCATTCTAAATGCAGTGAAACGTCGCTATACGGAACACCGCTATACCGAACATTCGGCTATACTGAGCATTCAGCTATACTGAACATCGTCCTTGGCTCCCAATTTTTGTGTACAAAGCGTACCAAACATTGTTGTTGAAAAATGTCAACAGAAGTGCGACAAGTGGCTATCATTTGGCCAAGGAATCGAAAGGGAAAGCCACCCTTTGCTGTAGGCAGTAAACAAAAAAAACCTGTGTTATGACATTTTTCAATAGTCGGCACGTGCTCAAAGTCATCTTTCAGTAACCAGCAGGGCGTGCAGGGTGAAGTTCTGAAGGGCGCTATTTATTGAAAAGTGAGTACCGGAGCACTGGCAGCTTAAAATCGCTTTACCGAACGATCAGTATTACGAACAATTGCTGTGGATCCTGCGATGTTCATTATAGCGGCGTTCCACTGTATCTCCAAGTCATCCTATCCCCCACTCCAAAAGGGAAGCTACAATATTTTTAAGGCCCCTTCTTCAGTGTTTCATTGTTCAGTTGGTAGAGCTGAGAAGTCCTCAACGATTGAATACAATTCTTGTGTTTGTATTTCTTTCTTTCAGATTTTAGTGTTCTTTCCCCTGGTGCTGAACCTCAGTGTGGTCTTGGAGAAGCGAGTGGATAAGATCAGAACGGAGGAGAAGGATAAACGGCCAGACCTGTTTGCTCTAGCTATGGGGTATGTAGCTCCGATGGAAGTGGTACTTTTTCCCTTTTCTGTTTCTGTCTGCCCAGCCCTTGCTTTATCATCTTACGTTCTGTGGTGAGCGAGTTGAGTATCCCAAAAAAGAGAGGTCAAAACACAACTGGCAGATTGGCATAAAACATGGGCCAATTTCATTTCATAATCTTCCCTCTCCAGCATTCCACATTTTTAGGGAATTTGGCATCCTCTTTAGTTGATCCACAAAGTCCATTAAACAGATGCTATGCAATATTTGTGATTTTTTATTTATTTGTAATTTTTATTATTATTTTTTTTGTTAGGTACTCTGGACTGTTGAAAGGTCGTAAGCCACACATGATAGCCGAAGATCAGTTTCACTCCAAAGACACCAAGTCGCAATCCGCATCCACAGGCACTGCCAAGAAGCCATCGGCTCCGAACCAGGTCACTCCCTCAGGAAACACAACAGCCTCTGCCGACAAAGCAGACTCAGCAGCTGTCTCAGGTATCTGACATTTATCTACCAAGACCCCTTCAAAAGAACCCAGTAGAAGTGTGTTCATTTGTTTTGATTCTCAGCTGTTGACATTCCTGGATTTGTGCACATTTTTTAGTACATCCATCAGAACCTTAATTATATGTCTATCAATACGCCCATTATTTTAAAAAGCAGCTGCTACAATGAAGCTGGCATACTTGAGGTATCCCATAACAGAATACAAAGTCCGTGGTGTCGCTGACGGTACGAGGAAACTCAGATTGTATTTTATATCCTACTTGGTACAGGCAGGGAATCCTCAGTGTCCTCCCAGGAGAGAACGTCAGGTACCAGACCGTCCAGCAACCATCCTTCCGCGTCGGCCAAGAAGTCTGGTAGCTCCAGCAATAGCAGCAGCCCTGTAGTCGTCAAATCAGAACCAAGGTAATACATCTTTGGCCAAGCCCGTCTCAGATCCTTCACAGACTGCCACGATGTCTGAATCATTCCTGTATTAAGCATTGATGAGTACCTGGGAAGTTTCACCTCTGAAGAGGTCATGGGCTGTACATACCCTATGGTAACGAGTAACACAATTCTTCTCTCCATCAGATCCGAGACGAAAAGCCACCAGGATGAGAGGAAAGAGGACAAAGGTCCCCGAGAGGTCAAAGTTCGCAGCGAGGACAAAGGTCAGAAGGACGACAAGAGCAAGAACCACAAGGACAAAGTGCGGAGGAAAGAGGAGAAGACCCCTAGGTCGGAGAAGAGCTCGTCAGAGGAGGCGAAGAAGGAGTCGCGAAAGAGCAGCAGCAAAGAGATTGATAAGACACCCAAGAGCAGCGATGAAGGGAAGCACCGGGACAATGACAAGGACAGGTAGGGAAGAGGGAGAACAAGGGTGGGGGCGGGGTTGGAGTGAAGGTGGGGTGTACGGGTGAGGCATTGAGGGTGTGTTGGTATCAACATTGAAGCATTGTTGTCCCAACATGCAAACTAATGTTGGTCCAATGTTGTGATCCACATTTGACATTGTTGGGCCAACATTGGACCAAAGTTGGCTTGCCACCTAGGTTTACACAAACCTGTACAATCTTTGCCTGAGCACCAGGCCTGCGGCAGCAAATAACTGGAGAAGTTGGAGAGCAGTGACAAACGAAATCATTCGGGACTAGGTAGAGAAGAGGGGTAGTATGAGGTTGGTGGCTGGGCCAAGGGAATTGGATGTCCTGGATATGGAAGGAATCATGAACATTTTGTTTTCTTGCTTTGCAGGCTAGAAAAAAGAGCTCCCTCTTCCGACCGCGGTCAAGACAAGAGCCACAAGTCCAAGCGGACGTCAGCTGGTGTAGAAGTTGAGGCAAGAGAGGACAAGAGGAGCAGCAGCGAGAGGCTGCAGAGAGGGGAGAGCATAGCCTCCAACTCCAGCCAGGCATCCTCTGGGGCTGGGTCACGCAGGGTGTCCCCTGGAAAGGAGGCTACTGAAAGGGGTAGGTCAAGGGTCAAATTAAAAAATTGTGAAAATTCCTGCATCTTGTAGTCCAGTGACTCAGGGTAAATTCAAGTCAATGAATCTTGCATATTCAAAGCCTCAGTCGCTCTTTGTTTTTTCTTACATTTTTTTCTGTTTAATTTTTTGCAGAGCACAAACGACGCAAGGTGGGCCACCAATCTCCAACTGTATCCCATGTAAGTGAATGAATTTTAAGTTTCCATAAAGCATCAAAAGAATACTAAATTTCACAGGAAGTTGTTAAGCCCCACCCCATCCCAACCCCCCCCCCCCAAAAAAAATCTCTTGTAGCGTCCCTTAAATTTTTCGTAATTACTGTAGGTACAAGAAAAGACAAAGGAAGGCGAAAGGGACTCACATGATCGTAGTGAGAGAGACCGGGAAAGCCGACGGGACAAAGACAAGAAGACTGCGGAGAAGAAACGAGACCATTCAGAGGGGGAGCGAGAAGGAGGCCATGATTCTAAGAGAAGGAAAGACGAAGAATCGGGTAAAAAAAACCAAATGATGGGTATATTTGAAGGTCGGGTAGATTTCTACGCAGGGCATATCCTCATTCCAATGTTGTAGTCAGGATCTTTCAAGACGTCTTATTTTTTGATCAAGTATTGAGATTTTCAGATATAAAATACTGATACGAGTCAACATCCACCACCCTGCAAGATTTTCTTGAGTGGGTCAGTAAAATCCTTTGTTTGATGTCACAGGCGGCAGAAAATCATCATCTTCTCCCAGCTCAAGGGAGGAGAAAGATCGGCAGAAGACGCCCAAGACAAGTAGCAGTCGACCCTCGAGCTCAGGAGATGCTGCTGTCAATGGAGAGAGGTCATCCAGTGCCAAAAAGGTATGTAAAAAAAATATGAATAAATATTGAAATGATTTTGAAGGGATCGAGCTTGATTGGGGGAGTGAAGCTTATTGCAAATTTTTAACCCAGAACTGATCGCAAAATATCTTGACAGGACACCCCCAAGGAACGAGAGCGGGACAGCTCCAAGTCCCGTAAAGAAGGCCGTGGGGAAGACAGCAGCACAGACAAGGTCTCCAAGAGGGAGTCCCGCGGTGAAGACGGACGGAAAGAGGAAATGCGAAAGAGCAAACGAGACAACAAAGAAGAAGAGGAAGACAGACAATATCCTTTGTTGAATCACTCAAGTTTACAATAACCGGGGATGTAGGAAGTTTAGTAATTACAGGAGTTGGGCTTTGGGCATAATAAAATGCGTGCATACTATTCTTGCGTTACCTCAAATTTCCTGCATAAATGTCAGTGTCCATTCACAGTGCATCCCAAAGTAAGTACGGCTGTGCTGAGCCTCATATTTGAGTATTCAGTAATTACATATTGGGTTTTTAATTCAAATTGTTGTCTCTCTTTTTTGGCTTGCATATTTCTGCTGGTGAATTGCACTGCCTTTCCAAAAGATTCTGCTACATTGATTCCAAGTATTAAGCACTTGCCCACACATGAGTGATTAAGCTTCCCATTTGATATTTCCTTGCATTCGTGGAATGCCCAGGCCTCATGGTCTGGAGCATTGGATTTGTGGTCTACGGGCAATTCTGCAGGTTGTGGGTTCGAGTCCAGCCTGGGGCTATGGTGTATGTGTCCTTGGGCAAGGCACTTTGTCACTCGTTACTTCTCTCCACCCAGGAGTAAATGTTTCATTGGCCTAGCAGGGTAATGATGATGTAGTGCCTTGAGCACCAATACTGGTGGATACGTGCGCTTTATAAATGCGTATTATAATTATTATTCATGTGAGCGGACAGCCATTTGTTTCTTCTTTCTTCCTTGACCAGTCTTACTCATTCCAGCTCCCGCAAGAGACGGCCTTGATGATTGGCTGCCGTGAAGTCATGAATATTCAAGACTTCATGAATCGGAGTGTAGAAAGGTCACAGTGGAAATGCTAACTGAATTATTTGACAGACGGACAATCGGAAAACTGTTTAAACAATCTGCACTGTTTGCACCCATAACTTGACTCTGTGCAGCTGGTTTACACATTTTTAATCATTAGAACTTGAGAAACGAATCAAACAGGGCCGTTATGTAGCTATAGTGTGCCAGGATTTGAAGACACACCTCCCTCCCACCTTGTCTCCACCCCTCTCCATAATTTGTCTTAACCCCTTGATAGCGGGTTTTTTAAGCATCACTGCACAGGCTTACACGCATCACTGCACAGAGCCTTTGTGCAGTATTAGCACTGCACTGCCGGTCATATGCCTAGCAGCTGCCCAGCAGCTGCCCACAGACCAAATACCACAGGCTGACCATAGCATTCCAGAGCGGGTATAGCCATCAGCCAGCGTCAAGGGGTTCAGGCTGGCCCTGCTGAATCCAACAATGTTGTGTATTTCTTTCAATGACCGAGCAGTCAACAAAGGTGCTTTGTTTCTAGTTGATGGGTTCCATTGAATTCAACTGGCTTTAACACTAATTGTTAGTGTCAGCAAGTTTGTGTTCTTAATTATGTCGGCAAGTTCTCACACTATTGTTGAATTCCTTAGGATTCGGCCAGCTTTCACATACATGTGCTGAAACAATTTTCACATTGTGACAGGTTTCGTTGGAGTCAGCAAACTTGAAATTTGTGTTGCTGGATTCTGCCAGCTTTCGTACTCATTGTGTTGGTAAATTTAGTTCCATTCTGCAATGTACCAGTAATATTCTTGAAGAAAAGTTAATTTATTGGTCAAGACAGTTTGAATTTTATTTTATAAAAATTTGGAGACCGTCGTATCAATGATGATTTTGTATAATTACATTATGTAAACAATGGTGAAATGTGGGATTACGAGGCAAAATGTTTATCGTGAAGAAATCTTGTATTTGAAAAAAAAAATGAGATTGTGGTGTACATGAGAGTGTTGTTTTTCTTTGTTTTCTGGGATTTTATTTTATAATAAAGAGAAATCTACACTGAAAAGGTAAATGTATTGAGGAGTTCTTTATTTACATTTCAACAATGAGTCGCAAAGAAAATATTGTAATAGCCATTAATGAATTTGGATTTTATCAAATATAGAATTGACAAAAGGCCTGAACAAATTCAGATTGAAATCAGCGCCCCGATGTATCCATCAGCTTTTGGATATACTGCCTTCTTCAACAGCTCCAGGAAAGCGTCAAGATTTCTGTAACAGCAGATTGCCCGTAGTGTAAGCTATAAAGCCCTTGAGAAATGGAAGGCCCTCGCCCGATTTGGAGCTGAAATGAAAAAAAAAATTGATTTGTGCATTTACTTGTAACCACCTTATGACAAACATGTTGAGTACATGTATAAATTAACGACCTTTCTGAAATTTCACAAGGGATACCTAACTTTTTGAAACTGAAATTATGAAGGTTAATGTACATGGGTGACTACAGAAAAGACCTTCCAGGTTTTGGAGAATATTTTTCTTGGATATCGATTTTGCTGCAAGTAATCGGTTCAGTGCATCCCCCCAATTGTTTTTTAAAGAAAATATGACTGCACTTTTGCTGAGTTACCTGACAAGGAATGGCTGAGGCAAGCAGCCCTGAGTGTGTTCACGTATGACCTTTGACATGGTCATGATGCTCTCAATCAGCTGTCTTTTAGAAGCCTTGTCGGACTTGGTCAAAACCACCTTTAAAGAAAATCAACAAAATAAAAAAGATGTTACATTCCAGAACAGTTCCGGCTTGCAAGTCATCGGCATTTGGCCTTGGGAATGGACCCTCATGTGGTCATTTGTAGTCCATGGGGGCTACAGATATATTCACTAGTGCCCTCAATGCCAGTCAATATTTGTATATTACCCAACTCACCAGGTATGGAATAGAAAACTCCTCAAGCATCTCTATAGCCACGTAGTCCCACTTCTGAAGGCCCACGCTGCTGTCTATCAGTAGAAAGGTGTTCCTCAGACTGAAGACAAAGAAAACAAATTATCTATCTTGAAGCTTTTCATTTGTGTTTGATTATAATTTGCTTTCACTTCAGTGCGTCCTTGTGGACTAGTTCCTGTGCCTTCTCTTGCAATCCTAGAAAATTGAGGGACAATCTTCTCTGGCATTTTTGTTCTGTAGGCCATAACAATAAAAATCATCTGCCGCCATTACTTTTTCCTGGTCTTGAGGAAGCCTTCGGCCGAGGTGATGAAGTTGGCTGGCTGCCGGTAACCATAACCCGGCATGTCTACCAGGCTGAAGGCCCGCCCTACCTGGAAAAACAACAGCAGTTTGGTGTGGCCCTGCAAAGAAAAACAAAAACAAAGTATAACCAGACAATAATCACTACCATGCGCTGATTTTAAACCTGGTCCAAATAGGCTTCCAGGGCTACGGTTATGTCTATTGCAAGCATGTTTCCAGACGTATTCAGTCGACTTTCGTTAATACAAACTCAGCCAGAGCCAAAATGTTTGTTATATCATAACATTGTATTAAGTGGAGTGCTGGTCCCATTCATTGTGCACATAAAACACAATTGGGACCAAGGCTTTGTGTTTGCTATAACCAGAACTTGTACTAAAAGTGTTTGTATTAACGAGAGACGACTGTATTTGTAACTGTTCAAGACCTGTACAACAGCTTTTGACAATTTGGGTCGTGGGTCACGTCATTCAAATTTGGGTATTGGGATTGCGGGAAAGGCGGGGGATCCTCACGTACAGGCGTGTTTGATGTCCTGACTTTCAATCCCTCCACCTCCGAGAAGAGTGCTTTTATAAGTGATGACTTGCCGACATTACTGCGACCGATGAAAGCTATCTGTCAAGAGATTGAAGTACAAAAATATTTCACAATTTGATATAACATAAATGAATATTAGGCCTATACTTTCAAGAAGAAAAGCCAGAAGGGACCTCAGGACGCTTCTGTTCTTGAGCAAGGTATTTTACACCAATCGCACTTTGGTAAATGTAGGCCAGTGCTGTGCATCTGGGAGTAGGGCCAAAGCTGTGGAGGTAGAACATTTGACTGGTTTCCTGGCCCATTTTGGGGGTTAACTCGAGCGAATCAAAAACAATAAAGTGTGGCTGATTGAAAACCAACCCACCTCTGGCAGTTTATACACTGGGGCCTCCTCAGGATAATAAGCGCCTTTCACAAACTCAATCCTGTGGCCGGCACTTGGAACAAACAACTCGGATGCCCTTGCGATGTCCGCCTCGCTCGGAGTGAAAATCATCTCTCTGTCCTGTAGAATGGGCTGGGCCACAAAGGACTGGAGTTTGAGCAGCGGGTTCGTCGCAGCTTGACTGCTCTGCTGGAAGGAGGACTTCCTCCTTGCTGGATGCGGGAGTATGCGAGTATCCCCGTATCCATGGACACGGGACTGCATCTTCCAGGGAAGACTGCAGAGAGCAACCTGTGGGATAACTCTTTGAGGCTGATTTGAATGACAAGTTCTGGCTTCAGTGACAAGGTAGTTTTTGGAACAGGTCTGAAGATGGTAACAACGGTTCTGGTTGTTGCATCCCAACATCTCAACTGTCTTTTTCCATGCACAGAAGGCTGCCCTCTGTAGTTTCAGTTTCTGCAAGGAGTTTGCCATCTCCCCGCAGTGTTCACAGCTCCATGATCTGACCTACCAAATAATGTTGGTTGAAAGTCAAGAAGTTAAATATGTATGGCATAAGCATAAATAATAATTAATATTTACAAAGTGTAATGACAGGTTTATAGTCGGCAAAACTAGAGTTGTGAGGTGTTTTGCTATGCCTAGCCTCCTCAATTGAGTAAAGAAAGACATTAATTCGTTTAAATGCACAAACAACTGCACATTCAGAGTTTGCCTTCCCTCACGTTCACATTCAGAGCTTGCCTTCCCTCCCGCCCCCTCTCTACTATGCTCCACGCCCACCCCCAACAACAACAAATGACAACAATGGCCCGTCACAATCACCAAAGTTTTCCCTGTTTAATTCGTTTGTTTATAATTCAATGACCAAAACCTCATGGGCTCACCCCGTGCTTTTTCTACAGCCTGTACTGACGTGCTCAGTCACTCACTGAGTTGGGAAAACGAAGAAAATTCAGGCGGCACTGCACGTACCAGTGCACTACGATTTTTCCCAAACAAGAAACACTTATTTGCTAAAACTTAACTCTTGAGGGCGCTCCAAGAAACAGCTGATTGCAGATACTAGATTTGCGTGTGCGCTTGTGCAGCATCGTCGTCATCCACGACTGTCTTTTCGTGTCCGTTCGTTGTCGCAAATACATGTTCTCGTTTCTTAATTTAGGCTCTAATCTTTTTGCTGAGTGACTTGAACCTTCTCATCCGTGGATCATCCGCCACCCAGTTCGCAAATTACAATGGCAATGATGTTCAAACGGTCTCACGATAGCAAGGCGAAAACGTAAGATCAAATTTACAAAGAACACAACACCTCGTTGACGTATGACATCACATTGGCATTGTGTGTGTGCTAAGTAAGGGGAGGGGGAGGGGCGTTAGTGGGAGTTGTGATTATCACACTTTTATCAGTGATAAGGTAACCTTGTATGAAAGGGGTATATACAACCTTGTTTTGTTTGATATCTGCATGTATGATGTACAGAACATAAACAGGACAATTAGGCCTAGGCCTAATCAAGTTTTATCTGTTTTTAATGCCGCAAAATTCTTGTTTTCTGTTTTCTAATTGTTCCTACCTTTCTAAAATTTGGTTAAAATATCATGTGATTGATTGCATAATTATACTTCATATGTATACAAATTTACTGTGGAAAAAAATGTTGCAACCTGATGCCACTTCAGCGGTTGTGTACAATACAAATTATATGGAGAGTCAAGAACATTTTCTAAATATTTCTCAACAAAATTGGAAATGTTTCCTCAGTCCCAGATTCATGTCTTATGATCATTTTTGCAATGAATGACCTTCATTGAGATGATATATTACGAAAAAAGTGGCGTCAGGTTGCAACATTTTTTCCTTCACTGAAGTCTGAAAGTACTAAAAGTTATTTCTCTGTCATTTTACTTGCGTATCAACACATTCATGTTCAGTTTTTGACTTACTGATGGGTTGAATTTTGCAGGTACAGAGTGGATCTCCTGTTCATCAAACGGCTCGCTCGGATCTTTAAACTCTTCTTTCCGTCATTCAGATCAGCTCACACAGCACTATTCCTCCTATTGCTCCTGGTGTCTTTAGGAGGTAAATCTCATCATTTCAGTTATCTGCGTATAAATCTTTGTAATTGACTTATCTTAAGATACAGATGTTTTACTCACTGGATGTTTTCCCCAGTTAGAGGTAAACTTGTAGTAACTTGAGAAACTCCAGCTCCAATGCCAATAGGGAATCGACATGTAGAGCTGGAGGTCAATGTACGTTGTAGCCAGTGGTCTGAAAATGTCGGAAGCCGTGAAATTTGGCCTCGACACATCCACCATATCATCTTTTTTTTTCATATTTTAGACAGTTTTGTTCTGTTTCAAGTCGATCCTTTGCTTCGTGAATGATTCACGTAGCAAAGGATCTGACTGAAACTGACACTGAAAGTGATTAAATTATAAAAAAAAAAAATGATTTCGGCGGCTGTGTTGAAGCCAAATTTCACAGCTTCCGTCATTTTTAGACGGCTGGCCACAACGTACATTGACATCCAGCTCTACATGTCAAATTCCTGATGAACATTGGAGCTGGTGTTTCTCAAGCTAGATTTGTAGCAAAAAATCCCAGAGTTGGATCACACACACACATGCACACCCAGTCGTTTTTTGCTATGCTTCCGAGGATTGGCTTTGTGTTTTCCTTTGTCCCTGTAATATAACACTCTCCCATAGACTAAGCACACAAACCTGCGTTCAAGGACAATAGGCACCTTCCTTCGAGGATCAATGGCCCCTTTGTGCTCCTTTTGTTGTCTGTCCTCAGGCGTAATGCCATGCAGGAACACACACACACAAATGTTGCTTTTAACTTCAAACAGACTCTAATTGTCATGAAGTCCCAAACTCCATTGATAATGACAAAACTTTCAAGGCAGTTAAGCACCTTAGTTTATTTCTTTTTCTTTTTCCTCAGGTGAAGTTGCTGTTTACTACGTTGGTCTGATCCCAAGTGAATACAATTCAGTTCTACCAGCCAGGAACTTAGAGGGCTTCATCAAGACAACGTGGCAGTCCATGCTGTACATCTGTTTAGTTGCACTGGTGAGCTTAAACTTTAACTAATCCATCACAGAGATTGCAGGAATAGTTTGTTCATTATTGTAATAGAAATATTGTTTATGAATATGCGGACATAGTATTCGTTGCAAATAAAGGAGTGTATTTTATGGGTGTAGCCATTGTGCAAATTTGAGTGTACTACAAGTGTCTTTCCCTAATCACCTTCCAATTCTGGTACTCCTTAGTTCAAATGTTTATCAGTAATGCAGTGACTTTGCTGCTTTTGACCACATTTGACCCACATATCATTTTTCTATCTCCTTCATATTTGCAGATACTCAGTGCTCAATACTACATCAGCAAAATGCTGTACATCCACTGGCGCGAGGCCTTGTCTCTCGTCATCCACAAGATGTACTTCAAAGACTTCCGTTACTACCAGTTGAATGTGCTGAAGATTGACAATATTGATAATCCGTAAGTTTATGTAAGGATAGCTTGAAATTTCCAGCTTACTAGGCTCATGCTATGGGGAGATTCGCCGGAAACTGAACTTTCTAGCCATTTTAGGCTGTTTCTGCAACTTGCCTTTTTTTCCTTTAGACTCCAGCCGTAGTGTTTGTTCACGTTTTCATTGTGCATGCACTTTGGGAACTAAAATCAATCCGATTTCCTTTAAACTTGGCACACACTAAGACCAGCACCTGCAGATGTGCGCCAAAGATTGACGTCATCATGACATCATCACAAATCATGTGACAACACATTAAAGGTGCATATTTTTAAGGCCTATATATCTACAGAACTACAGGTCTGACTGAGTTGAAAGTTGGTATGTACCTAGACCGGGATGTGTTATAGATGAAAATTAAAGTTGTTCAATTGTTTATCTTCTAGGGACCAGCGTATCACTCAAGATGTCGAGAGACTGTGCAATCAGTTCAGCAGTATTATTCCTTTACTAATCGTCTCGCCTTTCACCATCCCGTTCTACACTTACAGTGCATGGGCCGGGTAGGTAAAATGTCAAGATTTTATCTTTGCAATGAAATCCTTACTCATTGGTCCTGATTTGACAGTAACATTTTGCTTTGGTGCGTGGTTCTACAGAGAGGGTAGGGTACTGGAGGTCCTATGTGCAAAGTATGGAGTTGAACACACTGAGCAAATGGTTAGCACTTGTTTGGTAATTGTGCATATAGCAGGTACGTTTGGGGTTTGCTTCACAATGAAGTACATTGGAATTCAGCCTCACAAATTAAAGTTTGATTAGGGTATGCTTGCATTCACTATTGCAATTTAGCTAAAGTTTAAGGTTTGTGTAAAGTTTAAAAAGTCAACATTACGATAAGCGGGTAATAAAGTGACTTTTGAAACATGACTTTGAGCTGAAATGTACAGTATTCTTTTACACCCTTATTGTTTACAACTTTTAGATTGTCTTTGGTGTTGCCTGAATCATATCACATAGTTATGCCCCCAAAAGATATTCTCATCCATTTTAACCCCCAAATAATAAATATAAAAAAATTGATAATTATATCATTGATCAGATATTCACCCTGTGTCTTATCCAATATTTGTTAATCCTTATCGTGAGTCAATATTAGCTTGTCATTGTAAGACAAGTTCAAATAAACTGGGTATCACTGACTGCTAGATATCGTAATAAATGGGATTTTGTTCTCGATTGTTATAGGATTTTGTACTCTATTGTTCAGAGTCCTTGACAAAGTACAGGACAGATTTTCCCATAAACAATGGTACATCTTTGTGCAGTCAATGAGAAAAAAAATAAGTCACATTATTTTTTTTTGGCAGCAGAGTCCCCTGACCTTTTACTTTTGTACGATAAATGCAAGGATACTTTACTTTGTGACGTTTGATATTATCTCCACAGCACAGGGTACATTGGACCAGTCAGTATTTATCTGTATTTTGTCCTGGGGACAATCATCAACACATTCCTGATGGCCCCTGTGGTTGAACGCACTTACAGACAGGAGAAGCTGGAAGGCTCCTACAGGTGGGGATAGTGAGGTCACTTGAGAGGTCATTGACAAGGTCATTTCTTGGCTTCATCCGTGGTCCTGGAACCATTTGTGGGTCTTAAATCCTAACAGTCCCGAATCCTCCAATTATTATTTAATGCTCGGACTGAAACCATGGATAGACGTTTGAAAAATAGCGTAGGTTTTGACGATGTATGATTCATTTACCGAGAGACGACGATTTTCACGCGATGCGGGTAAGTTCAGACACTAAAAGCTGACACAGTACCCAAGCCAGATACTCATGTTTTTTTTCTGGGTCGGTTCGGTTTCGGGTCGGTTCGGTTCGGGTCAGTTCTCCTTGAATTTTCGTCGGTTTGGGTCGGGTCGGTTTTCCGTGAATTTTCGTCGGGTCGGGTCAGGTCGGTTTTAGGGAGTACAGATCGGTTTCGGTTTGGATTCGGTTTATATCTATAATGTTGTGGGTCGGTTTGTTCTGGTCAACCAGACCCAATGCACAACGTTAGTTCTGACCCTTAGCAATGGTCTTCTTGAGTTAAATATTTCTGTAACTTAGTCCTGTATCCACCTAATCTTTAATGGGGCTAGGTTATAAATATTCTGTTTTTATCTGCCGCTGGGTTAGGTTCAAGCACGTACAGATACGTTCCAATGCGGAAGCTGCAGCATTTTACGTGGCGGGTCAAATTGAGAGAGATAAGACCAACAAGAAGCTGAAGACTCTGCTCGACACCCAAGCCAACCTCGTTAACTTTGATTTCTGGCTACAAGGTTAGTGAAGTTGCGCTTGATCCCACCCTCCACCTTTGTGACTAGGGTTCTAATCCCACCAGATCAACATCAGTCCCTACCTGATTAAATGGGCTTTCCCCAAAATAGCGATTTAGGGTTTTCTTCCCACCCTCTGTAACTGTCGTTGTCTTCTCTGTAGTTCCCTCTGTAGGTTTCAGGCTTGAAATAGCTACAGTGATGTGGGCGCAATTGAGGAATCCTAGTTTTCATTATCAGAAATAAATCAACAAATTATAACAAGGATTAGAAACAAATTGCCTGACACTCCCGCAGATGAAATACCCCAAAGTACTTTAAGTGTATGGCCTTTGTTTGCTTACATGCTGAAAAATGGGTGCAAAAATTACTTAATTTTTTTGAGAACGGTATTCACCCTCGCAACAAGATCACCAATTCCAGATGTCAAAACTAATGATATGTTGATGACAAACGCTTTAAAATGGCTGGATGTTGTCTTCTCTTGAGGAACAATAATAAACTGCTATCCTGTTTTTTCTTTCCAGTGTCAATAAACTTGTTCAATTACATTGGCAGCATCCTAAGCTACGTGGCCATTGCTGTGCCGATATTTGCAGGGGCCTATGACAACCTGGACTCCACGGAACTGTACAGCCTCATCAGTAAGGTACAAAGTCAACGTGACTAATCACAATTTACTAGGATGTCAGACCCACTGATTGCTCCGTTGATCATCGTTGTAATCTGTGATGTTTTTTTTTTTGTCATCTTGGTGCAGAACTCCTTTGTGTGTATGTATTTGATCTACTGTTTCTCCAAGCTGATTGACCTAAGCAACCAAGTCACTGAGATTGCAGGCTACTCTCACAGGCAAGTACAAGTATCTAACTCCATCACTGCACACAACAGTCAAACATTCACATTTTGATGGTAAGTAATAACTGCTGAGGATATGTTATTCATCCTCATGATACCGGGAGTCAGGTTGGCGTAGCGATACCGTCCTTGCCTTCCACCGCTGTGACCCGGGTTCGAATCCCGCCTGGGCCAACATGTAGATTGGGTTTTCAGTCCCTGCCTGATTCCGCGGGTTTCCCCCAGAATATTCTTCTGGGGTTTTCCTCACACCTCTTAAACTGTAAATTCTTCTCATTGTCTTCTCTCTACAGGTTTCGTCAAGCTTTCGAGCTACAGTGCTTAGAATGCTTTTGAGGAATCCTTGGTTTCATTACCAGAAATAAATAATAATAATAAAATGTAAATTCATACTCGCAGTTGTCGAGTCAATCACAAATCCATTCACAAATCCAGTCACAAGTAAAAGGGGATGTACAATAACAAAGGAATGCTGGCTTGTCAGTGACAACTGATATTTAATATAGCTTTTGGTTTTGGATGCACCCTCGGCTGCTTGAAAATGTTGTAAAAATAGTCAGGGCAAACATAGATGACCTGCCGAAAAATCCCAGATTGTTTTGTCTCTTTGGTTTTGTTATTGTTCACTCTCAACAATGTGCCTTTAAATTACAGAGTCGGAGAATTACTAGAATCACTCAAGACCTTACCAGAGAATGACACACTACAGCGAGAGAAAGGCGACCCGGCAAGCAACCGCCTGGTCACCAAGGCAAACTATGGGTCACCAGTCCAGTTACCAGACCGGCAGGAGTTACTGTGCAACAACAAGGAGGGATGGCACGAGATGCAGGACTCTGAAGATGAGAGCGTTGGGGAATCCACGGCCCAGGTCCCTGTGGCTTACAAGCTGGACATGGTGTGCGTGGCCACGCCGGACAGCAAAGAGATCCTTATAAAAGGTATGCTGCTCCAGTTTTAGGCTCTGTTTCCAAGATTAACGGAAGGAGCTGAATGCATTTCCCATGGATTCATGTGTTACTGCCAGCAATTGCACAGTAATTAGGATGCAGCTCTAAGACACTGCCCTGGAATGTCCTGAGATTCTGTCCCCTTATTTAATACCTCTTTTGCGTTTCTCCTTCCAACCCTGCATGCTTATGAGTCCCTACATGTTTGCTTTTTGTACCTCTGTTATTTTGCCTCTGAAGGAGATCTTGTTATGATCGCAACGTCAGGCCACCTTAATTTTTTTTAGATTCTAAATGAGTCATTAGTCATTATCATTTCCATTTGATGTCAATTTTTCCCACGCTGTGGGGTGAGACGTTGTCTTTCCGTAATGGCACTGTTCCACGCAGTCCGATTTCTGACATCCACATTGGCGAGGTTTGACAGTCTGAGGTCCTCTGCCAGTGTCTCATCCCAGGTCTTCCGTGGCCTGCCACGGAAGACCTTTTGTCGCTTCAAGTGTGCCTTGAAGCTTTGGGTTTTTGTTCAAGGCGTTTCAAACTGGTAGTATTTCTCATGCCAAATCTGTAGACCTCTCACTGGAGATCAGAGTCGGCTACAATCTTCTAATCTCTGGACCAACGGGAAGCGGCAAGACCTCAATACTCAGGGTCCTGCGTGGTCTCTTCCAGACTCACTCCGGTAACATCACGGTGGATCAGGGCTTGGCTCCCGATGATGTCGTGTTTATCCCCCAGAAGCCATTCTTGACGGACGGAACACTCAAAGAACAGGTGAGACAACAACAACAAAAAGAACACATGAGGTGAATTTCTCTTTTAAAAGCCTGGGCCCTTTTTATACCAGGATTTTCGATGTTAAGCTTTGACTGAGCCCAGTGTAACATTATCTGGTGAATCCCTTAAGGCAATTAGTTCCAACACAGGAGGCCAGTCCACGCTCTTTGGGTAGGAAATCTTACACTCGCATTCCGCAGTTCACACATGCGTGAGTGTAAATCGTGTGCCGCAGCGACCAAACTTGCAGTCCGACAAATTCAGGATTTCTGTTGTTTGTGCATCAATTTGAACAATCAGAAAAAGAAAACAGGGTTTCATTACTCGACAAAAACAAATATAACGTCGGATATTAAATTTATGAAAAATCCATGCACGTTTAGGCCACTGAGGAATGATTTAGGCATGCCTAACAAGCCGTTCAGTCAAGCGGTACTAATTGTTCCCTGCTGGTGGTAGGCATTCATCAGGTGCTAAACTGCCCTAAGGAGATAAATCTTGAGATAAGAGAGATCAGTAAGCCTGGTTCAGTCTTGATCAAAAACCCGAATATAACCGGCCAGCTCGGGTGTTCTTAAGAGGATTCATGCCATGAAAGGTTTTCTTTTCACTAGATGGGATTCCAGTATTCTTTCATAAAAATGGGTAATATTGAAGGTGGAATTAAATGTTGTGTTAGATGATTTAAGTTGCATTTTTTTTATGGATAGTATGAACAAATAGCAGATCCGTTTTTGCATTATATTTTTGGTGTTAACTTTTTTCTAATGCTACATTCTGACACAAGAGGGCGCTGTTATTACCACACTAGTCATCCATTAACAACACTTATGAATCTCACAATGCATCTTTAGTTTCACTAAATGAGTTGTGTCCATTGTGTTCTTAGGTCATCTACCCAATGAGCATATCATCTTTAGAGACTCCCTCTGATGCTGACACGTACATCATGGAGATACTGGATCGAGTGGGACTGCTACATCTGTATGAGAGAATAGGTAAGCTAGTAACGTTTGCAGGCCAGTTTGCAAATCAGTTATAAAGAACTTGAGACTAGGGCTGTGCATCGAAGCCTGATACCCGAGCACCCAACCGCTGATGTCAGGAACCGGTTCCACATTATAGGATTGGGTACCTGTAACCAACTTTACTCGGTAACTTCTCAGAAAATTAAAGAAAGGTTTATTAGAAAGGTTTTGAATGCCGTTTGTGAGGAATTTTCAAAATGAAAACCAGGCTTCATGGAAAGCCAAAAACAGATTTCACGTTGATGCGCATTTTAACGTTCAACAGATGACGGTCGCAAAAGTTTGCAGTTTACTCCTTAAAGTTATAAAGCCCCTCAGACAACATCCAGGATTTGAATTTTGGGGATTGGGTTTCTTTTAAGGATACCTGGGTACCGGTGTTTTACTTCAATAGGACACCCAATTCTTGTACTACTTGTAAATGCACACCACTACTTGAGACCAGTTAAAATCCGGAGTTTAAATTGATCGAAAATCAGAGAAAAAAATGAATCAGAGACTTGGACTTAGTGATAGACCTTAGGTAGTTTTAAGGTTTTTCGTTTTTGTTCTTTTGTTCCCCCATGATCCACAGGCAGTCTGGATGGTGCTGAGGACTGGAATTGGAATGATGTTCTGACGCCTGGTGAAATGCAGTGTCTGTCCTTTGCCAGGGTGTACTACACCAAACCCTTATTTGCATGTGAGTCTTGGTTATTCTTGTGTAGGTTCTCTACTATTCATGTATGTAGCCTGTGACAGTCATTCATTGCAGTGATTTTTGGCTGCCAGTTCCCAGTATAGGTCAGCAGGGGTGGCTGGTGCGTAATTAAGCGCTTGCCTCTCACCACTGTGGCTTAGGTTCAATTCCTGGCTCGGACCATATGTGGGTAGAGTTGTGCGTTGGTTCTCTTGTGCCGATGTGGTGCAGAACGCAGCTGTGCCAGTGTCTTGTACATTCAGGACTATGAAATACTGACTCACTGGTAGTATTGCGCATGCCTACGTGAGGATTGTGACCGTTCAATATCAACCGTTTAAAACCGGCCACGTGACGTGCTCTCGACCAATAGGGATGGGTAAACTGTCTTTAATTAAAAAGTATTTTTCATAATTGTACATAAAATTGGGAAACAAAAGAAAATGTTGGAATCTATATATCGATTGGCTCATTATGTTGAGGTCTATTGTATAAAAAGTGGTTGTGTAGAGGAAACTTGTAGACAGCTTCAGTTTCATTGTCGTCTTCTAGTTCTGGATGAGGCCACCAGTGCGATCACAGTCCAGCAGCAGAACCGGTTCTACACCCACTGCAAAGCCCTGGGCATTACGTTGGTCAGCGTGGGCCACAGGGACAGCCTGAAGCGATTCCACGACGCCCAGCTGGTACTACAAGGTAACGGGGGCTGGTCCCTGAATGACATCGTAGATGCTGATCTCTGAATCATGCACGCAAGGTGTGCGCACCAGGTGGCCCTCTAGTGGTGATGTGTAACGGGTCTTTTTGCCTCACTCGTACCCACCGCCAAAACAGTGCGCTGAACAGGGCTAATTTCTTCTGAATATGTGACGTAATTTCTTCGAGTTCTCATTGGATAGAATTTGTTTGAACAATATCAAGGGTCAAGCATTCCACCTTCTCATGGCACGTGTGCACAGTACGTGCATTGGTTGAGGCAGTTAGCTTCCCACAGTGCTTTGCCCACCTGTGCTTCCTTCCCAAAATTGTGTGAATGAGATTAGCCATTGCCAGCGCCCTGTATGGGTGGTAGGTACGAGCGAATCTTTTTGCTTGAAAGTTGCCATTACATAGTTAAAATGTGTTTATGCTATGCACTAGCTAGAATGTGTGTAATATTACAATAACATTAATGCTGTCTCCTGTATCTTATGCAACTTAACATTAATGTGCTGGGGTAAGTCGGCAAGTATATTGCAAAACAATCGTGATTCTAATATAATGACAATCGTGATCCCACATTGTGACAATTTTTATTTCAGCCACAATTTATTTCTTTAGTATGTTTCCAAATTCTGGTAAAAGCTGAATAAAACCAAAAAAAAAATCATGCATTCCTGTTTAGTTGTGTTTCACATCGTGTGTGCCATTTTTTTAGTTGTTTTTTTTTAACGTAAAATTGTCTATCAAATATTATATTTAAAATTGATAAAACATAAATCAAAGATTAAAAATAGACGTTATGGCATAAATAATTTGATATTGATTCACCAAACAGCTGTCTTCGTGTAGTGCATTGTCATTCTGTTGTGCATTGTTGTTTTGTTGTGTGTGTGTAACATGTTTAGACCTAGAGTTTATATTTTAGAGTGTAGCAGAAAACAAAAAACATATTGACTCAGAATGGGAGTCAGAAATTTCACAAAAGTGACTGTTGTTATGTTTCTGTACAGTACTCTTTTTTTTACAATGTGTTGTGTGTGTCTTGGCTTTCGTGATATTTAACACAAAATTGTTGTGCTTTTTTTGCTCAATATGCAGCTTTTTAAGTGAGCTTATTATTAAAGACAATTTTTTCCCTCACTATGATAATAGAGCATCAAGTGAATATATTAGTTAAAAATTGAATCACTCAAAGATTTTATTACTACCTGCAATATTTTACGTAAAATCTTATGTTTTCAAATTTGTGAGTGAGCTAGAATAATTTTTTTATGACAAAAGGCAGACAGAATAATTTCATAAGGGTGTTTACTGATCGTTACATCTAACGAGTTTCAAATGTCAGTAGTTTGGGAGGTAACCATGCAGATAAGTGCGCTGCAATTGATCCAGTAGTGTTTTAAGTATGAATAGAAATTTGTGCTGTTTTTAATTTTGAGATATTAAAATTAACGTCAACAACTTTGACTGCATCAAACCATCGGCATAATTAAGATATTCTTTTTATCTGTTTTTACTAGTCTTAATTTTGAGTAAAATTAATTTAAGAAATTTGTTGTGATATTTGAGTGATATTTTTCCAAAGAACAGATAATTGCCATGTGACTTACTGGGCTAAGAAGTCCAACGATGAAAAAAAAATGAGTGCCTTATGCTATATGCTGTGAAATTAAATTGCCAAATTATAAGTTTTATTGCCATGTGAAATATAATTTATAAATTAAATTAAATATAATTTGAGAATGCTTCCACCAATATCAAATAATACTTTGATAGATTTTCTAGATATGACACAGACAAAAATTATCTGAATATTATGCAAAGAAGGATCTGGTAAACACTGTTACAGACTTCTTCAAACAGTCTTTTATTCCTCCTTTTAAGATTGTTCCTATTCTGTCTGTTACTTGTAAACTCGGATATGAAAATACTTGAGTGGTATTTGATATTGTGAGTGCTAACTAAGTTTGAAACAGTGGATTTTTGCACTGACGTCTTTACACAAATTTCTCTTTATTTGGTTCATAATAAATTGTCTTGGTTTTTATTTCTTTCGATTGTTATAACCATTTTTGTGTTTATTTTTGGACACATATGTTTTTACCACAAATATGTATTTCTCAAGTCTTTTAAGGAATTATCCGTAACATCTTACAGTCAAACTATCTAAAGTTTCGATGAAAAAAGAGATCGATTTTTTTCTATGTACTTAAACAAATTTAGAATACAAATTTATTGCCAGTTAACCTTACAATAGATAGAAGTTAATAAATATGACTAATTCAAATTGTAGAACTGGAGACATGGATTCTCTTTAATTTAAATATTGTTCAGACAATGAATTTATGAATAACTGACTAATTTATGTTGAAATGAGTCTTGCACAGCTGTAATAGGAATTATTTTCTTGGTTGAAAAACTGTCCTCTCAACACTCGGAAAATAATTACATGTACATGTATGTTGTATTCTATCTAACGTGAGTGGGCGGAGCAGGGTTTTTAGCTGCGCGCAGTGCACATGCGAGCGATTAACCAATCACCAACATGTTGAAGAAAAAGTTGACACTAATTTGCATATAATGATCCACATCGTCGGGACGGTTTCTAATTCTCCGCCTTTCAAAGTCAACCTGATAAAACGTGCAGTTCGTTTCGATAAACTTTGATCTTTATTTAATGAGTTTGAACGGTGTTCTGTTAAATTGTGCTAGTTGGGTACACCGGTCCGCAAATATTGGGGAAGTTTGAAAGTAATTTTCATGACTGGCTGGTGGCTGTTTATTTTAACGTTCTGTAGAAAGCGAATAGCGCCACCTATGTCTGGCACTGATCATGATGTGTCGGTTTTAATCAGCGGCCTCCCCCCCCCCCCCCAACTTTTGTACACTTTTTTTAGGAGGCCGGGTGTCTAGTGAACTTGAAAAACCTGTCTACCTTTCAGCACGGATGAAATTGGGTGGCCGCTGGAAAAGATTTCTACAATGATCTGCAAACATGGGCGTCTCCGCACTGCCGCTGGCCTGGAACAAACTTTTGCCAGGGGGCGCTGGAATTTCTAAAGGACGGACAAAATTACGAAAGCGGAGCGCAAAGCCCTTACGCCGTGGCTTAGTAATTTTGGAATATGGATGCTTTGTGGTACGGTGCAATCTGAGGCGATTCCTGGCCACTTTCATTTGACTTTTTTAGCAAACGTTTTTTGAGATTATAAAGACAATTAATTTCATTAGTTTGTTTAGAATATACTGTTGCACTGAAAAGCGGAGAACCTGCATTTTTATCTCCATTTTGGTCCCATTTAATTCTGGAAAAAGAATTGTATCATTATGCATGACATCGCATATAAATATTGCAAGGCTGCTTTCTTGCATTTAGTAAATTCCTTCGTGTCTGTTTTGTTTTATTTTCCAAGCCCTTACGGCGTGGGGCAACAGGGCCAGGGGCCCGCTTTAAGGCCCCGGAAAATGTTGGATTCTGGATGCACTGTGATGAAATATACTAAGCGTACTTAAACTTATAAAACCCGAAAGGACGTTTTTTGATTCAAGTTAAAACAAATGTTTCCATTAGAAGCGGATGAATTTCTGTTCATAAAAATATTCACATAGTTCTAACTCCACGATGTAGCTCTCGATATAATGTTATTTGTTTGTTACAGGGAATGGCAAATATAAAAGACTAAACGACCAAATGCATCTTTATGTTTATGATCGGTAGATGGCATGTTTGGAGCTAGGCAACTTGAGGATTTGTCGGTTGACTGAGTTTTTATGAGGACAAACTTGCAGAGGGTAACACATGAATAGCTCTTTATTAAAACGAAACTACACTGGAATTGGCGTCAAAGCATGTCTAGTTCAGTCAATAAAAGCCCGTCCCACTCCTATTAGGTTGGATGTGTGTTCACCTTGCTACTTGTTAATGTTGAGTACATAATGCTAGCAACGTCAATGAAACGTTTAAATGAAAAGAAAAACCCTAAGGGGAAAGGTATGAATGATTGAATGATCTATTGAATGATCGAATGAAAAAAATCCTGGCAAGCACAAACACTTTGCCACCATTGTCATGGCCGAGGTTATTGCTTTCGAGTCAAAGTTCCATCATAGGGGAAATATCATAGTGTCATGATTTTAGATACCTTGGGAGAAATAGCGATTCTGCACTGCCTGACGGAAAATTTAGAAAATACCCGCCTCCTGATATTTTACAATGTTTGTGCTAGACGTTCGAAGCGCCGCGCTTAGCCGCGGCAAAACTACAAACGAACAAAACGAAGGAGATATTTGTAGAGCAAGCATAATGTATAGCGTAGCGACGCAATTTCATCGTCGTAGAACACTGCTGGCTGGAACACATTTTTGCCCGGGAGAAGGGGGTGCTGAAGCCTAATTATTGAACACCCCAATCCAAAAAGTTGGGGGTGCTGCAGCACCCACAGCACCCCCCCCCCCCGTTCCCGCTGGCTTGCGTCTCCGGGATTTTTTTTCTGGGGGGGGGGGGGGCAAAGCACACCCCCCCCCCAAAAAAAAAACCTTGGCCCTTTCGCTAGCATAGGCCTACTGACCTTATTGCCGAACTTCTAAAAACGATTGGCGGTTTCTGGAAATGCAGAATATTCGATATTTCAAAAATATTCATATCCCCATGATCCTTGAAATAGAGTTTCCCCTGATTTTGTTTCTTTGGTTGGTTGATTTGTTCATGCCCCTCCCAAAGTGTATCTTAAAGAAAATATGCAGTTTGATAATTAGGTTGATAATTTTTAAAGTTGGAATGCACCGCGAAAAAGAGGGCGGAGTTATAGCGCAAGGAAAGGAACAAAGGAATCACTGATTATATACTTCCCCACAGGTTTCTTTCCCCATGCACGCATACCGTACCAGCTCGCCCACCACGTGCACGCTGCAGGCTAGGCGCGCTGTGTACGTGTGCGTCAAGCAACGTCATTGACTTGACTGCATGCCAGGCTCTGAGGAACATAGGAGAAGTCGAAACGTGCTGATTATTTTTCATTCTACAACAATCACCCTCAAAAGTGGAGTCTGAATTAATGTAAGTAATACTACTAGTTTATCCATTATCTTAATTTCTTTGAAGCTGAACCGCTAAGGTTGGTACATCTACTCACTGATCCAGTTCAGATCATGGAGGTTTCTCTTACCTCCATGTTCAGATGGATGATTACGCGTATCTACAGTACTAACAGCATCGAGCAAGGAGAAGAAAATGCGTAGGCCCTACAGCTGGAATGGAGGAAGCAAATGTGTCCACGGCGCGGCGTGTGGCAGTGACACGCACGATTCACTTGTATTGCCCTCGTAATTTTTGTTCAATATCTTAGATATAACATTGACGTTTCATGTTGCTAAAACTACTAAGTAAAAGCATTCAGTTTTGCATTTATAATATACAAGGCACACTGTTATTAAGTTTTAAGTGACTTTGCGTGGTTAAAAATAAAATGGTAGGCATATCCATTTTGTAGGCTGTTTTCCTTCCTCCATCATTGTCCATGGTGTTTCCTATCTCCACGCATATAGATAGAGCAAGCAGCATGCTCCATGGGAGTAGGCATGGTATGGAGGAAGGTAGGGTTTGTGCACAGGGTGTCAAGTGATGGCCAGATATGGGAATCTTTCCAAAAGGAATTGTTAATAATAATTTACAATTGCATTGTCATTTTCTTACAGTCATTCAAATGAGGCACTATGATCTCACCTCACTAGTATTCTGGTCATGAATTATAGTCATCTGGTCATGAATTAGTGATGGCGAATTATATTTATAATGTGCAGGGTAAAAGGGGAAGCATTCGACCAGATAAGGAAAACCAGCATTGCCTGGTGTTTGAGACTAACGTTAATAAGGGAATAACAGTGTGAGGAGCCGGTCTTCACTGCGTGATAATGACCGGGTTTGGGGGTGACCGCTGTTAATGGACCGAGACGAAGTCGAGGTCCATTAACAGCGGTCACCCCCATACCCGGTCATTATCATTCGTCTCGGTCCATTAACAGCGGTCACCCCCAAACCCGGTCATTATCACGCAGTGAAGACTGGATCCTCAAACTGTTATTCCCATTAATAAATACCTTTTTTAACGAAATAAACAGTTACAATGATCCAATTTTGTGACTTTCTTTCGGCGATATTTCCAGACTTTTTTGTGTTAATGTTCATGGGCCATATTTTAACTTATGCGTGGTACCCCGACTCTTCAATAAGCGTTGTTATATACACCACAGCCGGGCCTAGGCTGCACTGGACAACGTCTTCATTGCGTACGCGTATGACGTCCAGGGTTTGGACTTCTGCTGCCGTAGCGAAACAAATTACAACAATGTTTTCATATTTTTACCTGATGGAGGAAGCTGAAATTTCGTTTACAAATTCCTTGTGTCCAGAATTACAAAAGATGCTTTACAATGTTTGTGCTAGACGTTAGAAGCGCCGCGCTATATGTCGATAGGCGAAGTGTTTAAAGAAAATAAATCATAGATCTACGCTTTCATCGTAAACATCCTCAGTATACTGCACTGCTGTACGATGTCGTTCTAAAACTTCCTTACGCGCGCCCACCCATAGCAACTGTGTTGCGTACCGTGCGTCAGTCTCACGCGAAGGTGGTTGAGCGCATGTGCAGTGCTGTATTGTTACAAGCTGCCATATGACTGTTGTAAATTTGGCCAATCATTGCCTTCCATGGGGCTGAATCAATGCTGGTTCAGGGGCCATTTTTTCGCTTGTTCTTTGAAGCCGGTCTTTATATCACCGTTAATACACCCCCACGTGATCGAATCTCGACCAATCAGAAACCATCAACTCTCCAAGGTATTTATTAATTACTTATAACATGACCGCGCACTTACTTTGATTTTGATTAATAGCAAGTGGTCGGATTCCCCCTCCCCCCCCCCCCCCCCCCCCCGGGTCGAAAATACCCCTCTTATCCAATATTCATTATTATCATTAGTTATAAATTAATATAAATAATTAATATTAATTTAAACGGTTGATAAAACACCCGCTGGCTGGTTTTATACACTTTTCCGGTGTCGCATGAAATTTGGACTCCTATGAAATCTGGTCCCTTATCCTTTTATTGGTTGAACTTTATTTCACAATGTTCACTAAGGAGTGCACAACACTACTACCGAGTCCATATTCCGAAAGTCTTGAATTCACACTACACTGGCACCGCTGCGTTCTGCGGCACATCGCGCATGCGCCAATCATAAGGAGATGTTTACGACTTCTCCCGAGTGGCACACACATACCTGTATAGTTACAGGTAGCTACATGTAGAGGCTGGGGTGTCAAAAAAAATGAAGTAAAATTGTTGAACAAAATCATTGGAAATTTATAATTTTGACTTGTTTGATATTTGGACTCAACGGTATGAATTAGAAAAAAATGTGTGCTTTGCTGGTAATAAACAAACGTTTAAAACTGGCTCAGGGGCCTGGTCGCTGCTGTTGTCCCTCCCCTTCGGCTCAGGCCATTCTTTTTCGTGTCCAGGCCCTGAGCCGGTTTTAACCGTACTTGTTTAAAACCTGACAAGCAAACATTTATTCCCTTAGTTTAAACCAAACTTTTGCAGGATCTGGGAGGATTATAGTTAATCCAATCCCACAGTGCAGTGCGACTAGTGAAATCCCATGATTGGTAGTCGTGTGATACGACCCTTCTGCTATCGGTCTCTGGTCTCAACGGACTAGGCCGCACCCCAAGAAACACTGACAAAAATTTCAAGCTCCACTAATGCCCCCCCCCCCCCAAAGTTCTGCTTCCGATTACATGGCATTTGAAAATAGGGTAGGTAGGTAGGGAATTTTGTTTTTTGCACATTTTTTTTGTGTACGATCATATGGAGGCTTCTGCGTGTAGTCAAGGGTAAAGGTAGAAATTGATAGTTGTGGGTGTTATTTTCTCATTTTCCAATTAGGGTAGGGGCTGTCAGAATAGGGTACCGGTAGGTAGGGAAACCGGAAGCAGAACAATTTTGTTTTTGGCCTAACCATGGCACTCAACAATAGGCACATTCCAGCAACACATTCAACCATACGCCATACATATATATGTCCTTATAAGGTGCATTCACTCAACTGAGAAAAAGAAAAGCATGCAAGAGCAGAGGCTTATTAAATATTCATTAGACCTAAACTATATCCAATCAGGTTATTAGGGAAATAAATACACGCACAGACTGGTTCTAAAAGGAACTTTACTCATTTACAGGAACAACTTGTACAAACTCACTTCTACAATAAAAATTTTTACAGATCACATGTGGCAGTCACGACATACACAATAATCAGACAAAAGGAGCAAACACAGAAAAGTGTTGACACTATGTATTTGCAGTGTCATTCACTTCGATTCAGTCTACATTATTTTGAACTTCCAATTAAATAAACCAAAACAAAGTGGTATAATATAAGTACAATACGGTGATATTTAAGTAAAGAAATTATGAAGACAAGAACCACCAGTAACAAAATAATACTCTGAAGCTAATTAATTAAATTAAGGGTAATAGGGAAATTAAAAAACACACAGTAATATAGGAGAGTACAAGGCTGTTCACAAGCCAAGGCTTGTAGGTGGAACAGCCTGGACACATTGTACAAAGGAATCACAAGCATACAAAACAGACCCAGTCAGACACACAAACAAAAGACAAACGAAACCAAAGTCATATTATAAACCAAGCTGATGCAAAATGAAAACAAAATGCACAAAAATAGCAATGACAAGGAGGGAAAGAAACTAAATATTGAATATTGAAAGAAAAACAATGAAAAAGTAAAGGAGAGAAGGCTATGCTACATAAAAAGATTTGAATCGACCCACAGGCGGTATTGCCCTGATGTCATCAGGAATGGAGCTCGATATTAACATGGACCGTTGAGCTTAACGTTGAGGCTAGCATATAGGGTGCGAGTATGGGACGGAATGAGTTACTGCATGATCTGGTTGCATGATCGTGTATTTGCCAGACAGATGTGAAATATGCAGAAAAGATGTCAGGAAAAAGATTGTGGACAAACTTATACATGAATTTGCCAGTTTGAAGGTAGAATATTGCATTTGGCACAAGTTGCTAAGTGCGGCAATTAAATGCAATATTCAACCTTCAAAGGAGATTTAAAAAGGAAAATGAATAAATAATGTGTACAATAATTTCCATCTGTCCCTGAAGGTTGTGGCCTCTGATAATGGCATACAAAAGATTAAAAAAACGGATGCCCATCCATATGGACTATCATAAATAATAAACTCAGTATATAAGTAGTATTCTATTACTTTTGTATAAGTTCTTTTCATGAAAATTCCTCGCTACCATATTGGTTAAAATGACGCAAGAAACGTTTTACCTACTTTTTGTAATGGTACACTCTCTGGGCTCTTCTACAATTGGAGTCATGCCCCGCACCAATGATTTTAAAAGGGGTGGCAACCAGTCAACCCTGAGAGTTAAGAGAATTAGTCCACAAATGGTGGCCCAATTTTGTGTGGTTGAAATGGATGTCCTTCAAAAGTGGATAACGTTTGTATTGCAAGAAAAAAATATCCATTGAGTGCCTCGGCTATAAAAAAAAAAAACCTGAGTTCCCAGCATCAGAAAATTTGCCCCTGCCGCCTAGGTGCTCCCTACTAATGGAACCCTGTTGCCTTGCTGTTTTGCACAACTAGCCTAGTTAGGTCTGCGGGTAATTCTGCAGGTTGCAGGTTCGAGTCCAGCCCGGGGTTATGGTGCGTGTGTGTGCCCCTGAGCAAAGCGCTTTGTCACTCATTGCTTCTCTCCACCCAGCAGTAAATGGGTACCTGTGAGCCTGTGAGGGCAGTGTTGGTGACTGTGAGAGGTTGATGACGGCCATTATTTAATTCATAGTGATCTTGTTGGCCTTGAGCGGTTTTCCTTTCTAAGCCTTTGGCTAACAGATGGGCTTACTCAAATTCCATCATAAATATTTATTGGTGTCGTTTCCACTTTCAATTATTTATATATTCTTGAGAAGTTAAAGCTGGCTACTAAATTAATTTAATCTGATATCCCCGATCCTGCTGAATCGGGAGAAGATCGAAAGGCAACAATTTCTGTCGGGTTTTGTTGATTTGAGAATTGAGCAAAATATTTGGTGCAGGGTTAAAGGTAAGATCTAACAACCTTTTTAAACCATGGATTTTAACTTGTTGCCTGCTTTCTTGTTGCTCTTTAATATACAGATGGCTAAAACAAAGCACCAAGAGCTCAAGCCTGCCTCGCCTGAGGCTGTGGACGACAGCCAAGATGGGGATGAGAACAAGATCCGTGGTAACTGGACCAATCGTTGTGACTTCATGTTGTCAGTAATTGGATATGCCGTAGGACTCGGCAATGTCTGGCGATTCCCGTACCTCTGCTATCGAAATGGAGGCGGTAAGTGGTTTTTTTTGCTAAAAAGTCTCCCTGAATTCTCCAAAATCTACAACTTGTGCTTGAACACTATGGCACGTTCTCTGTACTTTTAAGCTAAATACAAGGGAAATCAAGCCCCATTGTACAACTCCTTAGCCCCTTTTTGCTAGGAACCATCCTCAATCCTCCACAATTTTGCAGTTATGTTCAAATGAAGGATACCCAGCACCTCAATCCTTCAAATTCGTCAGACAGTCCTGCCTCAAAAAAATGCATCCATCCTCAGTCCTCCAAAATCATCATGTGCTTCAACACCATTCATCCTCAATCCTCCAAAATCTTCATGTTTCTCAAACACCATTCAGCCTCAATCCTCCAAAATCTTCATGTTTCTCAAACACCATACATCCTCAATCCTCCAAAATCCTCCTTTTCAAACACCATTCATCCTCAATCCTCCAAAATCCTCATGTTTTTTTAAACACCATCCTCAATCCTCCAAAACCACCATGAGGTTTTTGGAGGATTGGTTTTAATAATGTCTTAGCTTCCTGAATTGAAAAAAAAAAAAAAAAAAATCATGGATAACTGCCTATATTTCCCATATCATGCCATTCCTTATCCCATGGTTTTTCCATGATTTTTTCCCACAGGGGCATTCCTGATTCCGTATCTGATGATGCTGTGCCTTGCTGGCTTCCCGCTTTTCATCATGGAAGTCGGGCACGGCCAGTTTGCCAGCAAAGGATGCATCGGCGCTTGGTCCATTGCTCCCATTTTTAAAGGTGCGTAAAATCCATTCACAATCGGGAAAGTGCCGGTCATTATCAATGATACACTTATGATCCTTTATTCTCTTTAGCCATAAATTTCTTCCTTTCAGACAAATTTAACTGAAAATGATGTGAAATAATTTGCTTTAAATCAAAACCTATAGTTATAGTTTGGTGTTTTTTGAACTTCAAAACCAACAAATTCTGAAGAATATATATATGACACCAGAATTGTATTGTCCCTGTTCAGGGGCCACCTTTGTTGTTGGCCGGCCTTAAACACTTCTGGCTGGTGTTTTATCATCTGTTTAAGACCGCCCACGTGACGGGTTCTCGACCAATGGGAATGGGTTAACCATCTGAAGTATTTATGAATAACTATTCAATAAGTTTCAATAAACAGGGAAAATTGAATTAAATGCGAGTCTTTGTTACAAAATTTGTAATTGAACAATATCATCAAATGTTGTACAGTTAGCTCGGAATTGACAAATTATTCGTGTAGTTGTTTTATTACACTCGTGGATTTGTTCTACCGGTAAAAGCTGGACCAAGTGCCCATTCGGCTTTTAAAAAGTGTACACTGGGCTAGTTAAAGCTGGTTATATGTGCTTTTTCAAAATTTCAATTTTCTTTTCCGAATGAAGTTTAAAGAAATATAATGTCCTGTAACAAATAAATTTTCTTGTTTTTTTTTTGCAGGCCTTTATACAGTTTTAAAAAATTGGTTTTAAATGGCGCGCTCCAGTTCGGCAATTGCGCACACTATTCAGAACGAATTAGGAGCGTCCCGCCCTTCATTCAAAAGTTGAAATTAATTAATTGATTACTTGTCATGGGCCGATTTTTTTTCGTGCAATGTCTCATTGGAAAGCTCATAACCAATGTAATGCCAGAAAATTGTCAATTCAATTCGAAAATCTATTTTTCAAAGTGCCACACCCAAAAAGCACGCATCCACCAACTTTAAAACAAATGTACTTGTATGATTGCATTACAATGTGTACCGGTAGTTGTATGAAAACTTTTGTAAGAGATTTGGGTGAAGGAACAGAGTAGTTTGCAGCAACAATATGCCCAAACCGCAATGCAGTACTGGGTATAAGAGCTTAGCTAGGATCAGTAATAGATATGCATCATTAACTCATAATGGTGATTCTTTGAATGTGACAGGTGCACTGTACATAATGTAGCCATTTCACAAAGACTTGTGCATGCTTGCTTTATCCCTTTTCTAACCACTGAAATAAGTTGAGCAAATTGTGGATTTGCAAGCAATAAAATGTGCAAGCAGACATGTCTCATAAGTTGTACAGCATATGTTGTTGATCCATTGAATTTCATGCATTCCAAAAATTGTTGCCTAATCTGTAATGATATGACGAGTATCATGGACTCCCTCAGAAGTATCAGGCATGCAACTTTTCCTCGGATCAGTTGATTTCCTCTTTTTTTTTTACTTCCCATGTGTGCCATTGAAAATAGAAAAACACTGTACAAAGTCTTGGAAAAATTTGAATTTCCTCTTTTTTGTGACTTCCCAGTTGCATGCCTGAAGTATACATACCGGTAGTGCACTAGTCTCCTTTGAAAATCCATTGAAACTGATGACGACTTGTTAAATCTGGAATTTTTAACAGTACCACCCTGTACATGTATACCGGTACATAAGTCTTGTTTTGGGAAAACTACTGTACCTTATCAAATCATTGAGCAAGGAACATGCTAAAATCAAGGAGCTTAACCAGTTGCGTTTATTGACCTGTATGTAAACATGTCAATTATAACTACATTGTAACTGCATGTTTATGTAAACTTGGTTATCTTTGATGTTTACACAGGACAAACGTTTAAGGACATGTTTGCATTTCTATTGTCTGTCTTGTCCTTTCTCTATGGTTTTCTACTACTGCATGAATCTATAGTGCGTTCGTTCAGTTCCCGCAGTGGTGTACATGCACATTAACATGCCAGCTGTAGAAGAACACCTCTAGTTTAAAAAGTCCATAATATATCCGTGCACAGGCAGACCATGGAGACTATTCCTTCCTCCATCGGCAGACACAAGCCGTTTGTTGGCCCTTTCTTTTGTCGGTTTGCAAAAACAATTACTGAGACTCGTTGTTTTTTCAACGCTGGTGTGGTGGGCAATTATCTGTTGAGTGAACTTATTATTAAAAAGAAATTCTTGCAGCTGGAGGCTGAATTGCGTGCCCAAACACCACACATCGTATAGGCTGTGGTTAAAGTTATCTTTGATTTTCACATCAGGGTTGGATGGCTGAACTCCTAACCCTGCTGAATCCAACAGGATCCAACTATATCATATACCTGATGGAGCCTGTTGGATTAAGCAGTAAACCCCTTGTGTACATTCCTGATGCAAAATGTTGGATTTGACATCAGGCAACTGAACCGCATTATAACACCAAGTTCGAATCCGTTGGATTCAGCAGACAACTGAAAATAAGGCAGAGTGGATTGAGCAGGAAAGTCCGGTTGGACTTTGTTGGATTTAGCAGGGTAGTCGTGAGGAAGTACTAGGGGGTTATGGAGGAATATGCCTGCACAGAAATATTACTTTTCCTGCTGTTTCCGTTTCATTTTAATAGTCACTTGTACAGAAATGGCCAATGTTTGGCATTGGCTACCACTATGGGATTACGTACAGCTCCTGTACTTAAAAAGTATAGAGAGTTGTATGCCTTTCCCAAGTCTGCATTGCTAACTTACTGAACCATATATAGACAGGCCAGCTTTGCGTTTCATAGATTTACAAGGCACATGTGTTACTGCCTTGCTGCAAAGTGTATTACTGTATACTCAATACATAAATCAACACAAACCCTAACCTTTGCTTGGCAATAAGCTGTTCATACCATTGTGTTCCCCTGCAGTTCTATTATTATTCTTGTGTGGTTACCATGCTCAATGAGGCCACTAGTCCTGAGGAATGCGGCTCGTTGAGCCCTGTAATGACGTACCTTCCTGGGTGGGAGGCAGAGCCAATGAATGGGGCCACATAATAGCATGGACTATTAGGATCTACATGTATGTGTTGAATTGCTTATGGGATCGGGGAGGGGGTGGGGGGGGGGGGAGTTGGCGGGTAGCGCCACCACTGTTGGGACGTATCTCATTCCCTTCGTGGACAGCAGCGCGCACACATGGCGGACGAGCAAACCCAATGTACATTTGTATAGTACACAACTCTACGACGTATATAAAATAACACACAGCGCGATATATTTCAATCGCCTAATGGCCGCATGTTGACCGTACACAGTCAGTCATCACTCCACACTGAGCCAGTCAAGTTCCTAGTTACGAGCAACGCTATAGCCTACTCGTTGAGCCAGGCACCCGACTGTGACAGCGAAAATACCATTTGAGATAAACCATTTTCACTTGCGTCATGTTCATCAATATGGCCCCAATGGTTGAACTGAGGGATTTCCTTTAAGCGACTACGGAGTAAATATTAGACCTTTGATGATCTTGTTAGGCAATAAAAATGAAATGTTAAAATAGCTTTTTCACAAAATAGAATGTTTTTGTGCCGGAATAATAGGGGCGTCCATGAAGGTGATACTACAAGTGCATTCTAGCGCAGGGTCGCGTGCAGGATTCACTGCATGATAGACCAACACGAATACAGATTCTTTTCTAGAATTGGTCTTTCGATACTGAACTAATAGTAATAATTTATACACGTTTGGTACAGACCAAAAGCTTGAATAATGTCTGTGGAAACCAAAAAGCATTAAAAAAAAAAGTAAGACTTGAAAGCAGATGTTCATTTTCCCACCATTTTTAACACCCCTATTTTTCGAATGGAAGAGGCACACAGACGGCCATTGGCACTTGGCTGTGGAATTTTATCAAAAGATTGTTTCATTGATGAAAAAAAAAATTGTAAATATATTTTTTTAAATGAATTTGTGTTGTACACTTGGATGAATAAAATTGGATAAGGCATGATTTTAAAACTGTAATATTCCAGAATACTTTAGTTAACAACCTAGGGTAGCTGACCTGCCCATGCCCATGCACCCGCAGTTAGTGTTTGTCACTGTTTGTGCTACAGTCAGAGTAAACTGCATTTGGGTTAAAAGAGAAATCCGAAGTCATAATGTTTGATGTAAATGTACCTCAAAATTGTACCGAGCACACACATTCCTTATTGCTGATAGTGAGAGTCCTGATATTTTCAACTTTAATGCAAACCCTGCTGAAACTACATCACCAGTGATGGCATTGTGCACAGATCTCTTATTTATTTGTCCTTTCCTCCAGTGTATGTTAACCCACTTTTAATCACTTAATTATGATAACTAGGTTGTAGGCCTACTGATACATGTAAGTGCAGACAGCAAATATTATGATAGCTGAGCTTTTAAGGGGATTTAAGTGTTGACACCAAAAACCTGGACGTTTTACCTTTGGAGCTTTCTACAAAAATCTGCATTAAAATAGATAGATCTCTTGTCATCCCAATGGCACAACTTAAAAAAGTTTTGGAGACATCAAGCCCCATGTAAAGTAAAAGTTGCTGGGCTGTACTAAAGGTTCGATTCTTTCAAGCTACGGCCAAATCAGGTTTTGGATTTTTTGGATGAGTCAGTGCAAAGGGGACACAGTTGCTGTTGATGAGTGTTTACTGTCAATAAGGGATCTCATTATGAATACCCATCTTTCCGAGTAGGCACAAAACCCACCTTAAATTGAATTGGTCCATTATAAGCTATGCCATTTTCCCCAGCATACCATTATTTGCATAACCAGATAACCATGTAGGATTCCTCTAAGCTCTTGGTACACAGTATCCTCCTTACCACGCTTTTCTTATTGATAATAAGATTGATCCAGTATCAAGTAGGCTAAGAAAAGTAACCCTGCCAACCAAATCCTTGTGGGGGTTAATAACTCTGAAAGATCTGCTTTGATCTCACCATGGAGCTCTATGATGTCACAGACTTTCTGCAGTCATCATCACAATGCCTGCCTTATGCATGGCCAGGCACGTTACGTAATGTAAGAAGAGGGATGCATTAAAGAAGCTATCTATTAAGGTTCTAAGAAGATAAATTCAGCATTCATACCTGTTTAGTGTTCTCCAACAGCCATGTCTTTTGATATTTAAAGACGTTTTCGCAGTAATCCTCCATCCCTCCCGATTAATATGGATACTCACATTAACCCTCTTTGTAAACATACATTCTGTGCCAAGTTGTCCTTTCAGTCAACATAAGTCAAGTGACTGTAACATTTAGAGCTCTCAGCTAAAGCAGGATTGACTGGCTGTGACTGTTTATATACTTTAATTTGACCGTAGGTGATTGATAAGCCAGCTGTGCCTACCACTTCCCTGTTTTTAAGATCTGGCAGGAGCTTCTACATGTTACTTGGTGGTCGGTCTGTCTGTTTGTTCCCAAAATTGACCAAAAGTATGGTGTTCCATATGTGCCATCCGCGTCGCATTTTTCGGCGTCGTATTTTCCAGCTCTGGCATGGATCATTTTGATCGATTTCATGCAAGACTGTCATGCAAGACTTCTTGCAACATGGCCAGAGCTTATTGTGCACTCGCAATTGTTGCCTGTTGACTGAATTTGGCCAGTCACTGTTCTTGTTTGAAATACGATCTGACTGTTGGTGACTAGCCTGTGTTAAAGGCATGGCAGGGGAAGAGGATTTTTGTTGTTGATAGTCTGTGACTGTTCAGACAGCAGGAGGGTTGATTAGTATAAAAACCATTCAAGGTAAAAATTTACCATGAATTGTATACATATGCACAGGTGGATTTCTATTTAAATTAAATATTTATGTACGTATACACATCTGTTTTGTCAAGTCAATGATAAACTAAAGGAAATGAGTTTCAATATTGCCTTAGTTAGATTCTTGTTTTCTGAATATAGCTTTCAGTTCCTCATTTTGTCAGTTTTGTTTCAGTTCAGGTTTCAGGATTAGAATTGTTTAGCCTAATTATGCAAGATGAAACAAAATGACGAACACGTAGCAAAGGTAGAGCATTGAGAGTGGTCAGATATTAGCAAATTTTGTGATGCTTTGCAAAATATGTGCTGCAGTACTGGTATTAAGCTTGTCTACATGTTTGTTAAAAATGTATGTATTACTATTACAGACTAGTTCATTATCCAGGTAGCATTCAGATACATGTATTACTTTTTGGGGGACTCTAATGGCAGTCCTAAATTCTGTATCCCCGTGCTTACCATGGACCACTTGTGGGGTACTCGTTCATTGTTAAAGGTACCGGTAGGCAAGTGAAATCTTTAGAAATAGGGATAAAAGGACAACAATACTTCTACCCCGGAACTCCCATCGGCTGGAACGTCCGTATGACCTTATCCTTATACATGTACCGTACGTCCGTAAGACTGTGCTTACCATGGACCCTTTGTGGCCTTCCCCTTCCTTGTTAGAGGTACCCCGCAAGTGAAATCTTGAGAAATAGGGATAAAAGGACAACAATGCTCCTACCTTACACCAGAACTGTCCATGTCCATATGAATGTGGTATTTGGGTTAAAGTTTCAAATAATTGGTCTCATTTCAAAAGTTGAAGTCCAATTGCAACCAAACTCGGGTCATATACATGTAGATGGAACATGGCAACCTTCATACGATAATGATGTCAAAGTTCACATACTAATTATTACCAAGGTTGAAAATCATCTGAGGTCAAGTTGTAAAATAGCCTAAAAAAGGAAACTTGGTCTCATTTGGAAAGTTGAAGTCCAATCGCAACCAAACTCAAGTCATACATGTAGATGGAACATGGGAACCTTCATACGATAATGATGTCAAAGGTCACACACCAAGATCAAAGGTCATCTGAGGTCAAGTTGTAAAATAGGCTGCAAATGAAAATGTAAAATTGGTCTCAACAGGCGAGACTTATAGTTATCTACTGCGAAGAAAGGCGACATGTGTGATCCACAGATCACTTGTTGATTCACTTGGCCTATTTCAAACTCCCTGTTGTGGAGAGTTTAACCCTCTGGTTATGTCTGTGAGCTGATTACATCAGCTGAAACAAGTTTTGACTTTGTTTTTTGAAAGAGGCAAACAAAGGCTGCTGTCAATATGGCAGAAGGAGTTAATTTCCGGATGAAGCCTGTTCTGTAATTACCTTAATTTCCTGTTGTGCTGTCAACTACATGCAGTGTAATTAACTGCATATTTGTTCATGTATATGTATGATATTTTGTTTTTTACTGTACCTTGGTGCTTCAAGTCCATGCATGCAAAAAGTATGGGCTCTTGCAGTCCCTGAGACATGTGTTGATATAACTTTGAGAATTTGATGTTTGATCATTGGTACATGTCTGTACAATTAGCAGACAATTGGACCACTTGCAGAGGATGTACAGTGTATGGTTCATTAAATTCCAACGCTTACATAACTTTAGGTGGGGTCTTTGAATAAATACTATTGGCGGCAAAACCACAATGCCTTGACTGACCAGGTTCTGCTCTCCGGATGTGGTTTACTGCTCGTCAAAAGATGTATCTTTTTTTCTGGGGGACTGAGACTGAGGCCTAAGGGGGTTTAATCTTTAGTTAAAATTGCAAGATCTAATATTTCACCCTTAGTCAAATTGTTTTAAATTCTTTTATAAATTTTCATTGTCATGATTGTCAGTAGAACAAGATTGCATTTTATTTTCAAAATTGTTCTACAATGGCCCCAATATCCCACACTTTTTCTTTCATTCAAAATTGATGATGTGACCCACAAAAATCCTTCACAAGGTGACAATTTTTATATATTTTTTTTTTATGTCACACAAAAACCAAAATGTTGACCAGTTAAACCAGGGTTGGTTTTTGCTCCTTTTTTTGACAACCACAATATTGAATGTTATGCAATGTAAGCAAATTGTAAAAGAAAAAATGGCTCTAAATTTGAAAATATTTCATCAGATTGTAAGGTCGATTTCTCAAAATGTTGATCACCTTATGTGGAAGGGTTTTTGACAGACTTTCCCCCCTCATTTCTTTGTGTGCAATAGGTATCGGCTATTCCATGTGCTGTGTGACCGTCTTGTGTTGTATCTATTACAACGTCATCATCGGCTACACAATATTCTACTTCTACTCCTCCTTCACGGGCGAGGTGCCGTGGAAGAGCTGCAACAACACGTGGAACACGGACACCTGCATGACGGCCAACTTCACCGAGGACGCCACCCGACCATCCTCAGAATTCTGGAAGTAAGGCCGCATCCGAAAATACTTGGCTGTCCGGTTCGTTAGTAAAAGCGTCAGTCATGCGCGCGCGCCACTGATAACTAGCGCCCATTGGATAAACGCTCGAGTTACGTTAACTTCCGGTTCCATTCATTCAGTGCTACACCGTGTGAAGTACGCATGGGTGATGTCATTGAGATGACGTCACACTAACGAAGCGGATACTGCTGTCACTGTCAGTGACACACGCGCCAATGGGAGGTGGATTCGGCGACTTCCATAGGCGCGTGTAAAAATGCTGGCCGTATAGCCCTGTAATTTGGACACGGCTTATATTTTTGGGTGTGTAGGAGACCGACTATATTATTTTTTTGGGCGTGTAGGAGGCCAGCTATATAGCCTGCTTATTTTTTTTGCCATAACATATCATTTACATGTACATCAATTACTATCAGAATATTTTTGTTAATAATTAAAATCGTTATAATCCCTTTGAAATGCAATTAAAAACCATGCATAATTTTATCGTTTCAGTTTTTCAACTTGACTGTAATCACAAACAAACAGCTGCCATATGTTCACAGTGTAAATGTTTGTACTATTTTTTAATAGTTAATATTTTTTTGAATATTTTGTTTTATCTTTTTGTGTGTTTTTGATCCCCTTTATTTAATTGCCTGAATGAGACAATGAATTGACGGCGATTAAGCTGATATTTTGTTCTGTTAACTGTAGAGGGCACCATTTTTTAGCATGTACGTATTGGCTCCCCGTACGCAGACTAAATAGCAATCGACATGTACATGATGGTATGCAAACTTGCATGTCAAATTATAGCGTACATGTACATCTGGATAAATTAATCCATCAACCACAATAGGTCCCTCTCAAATGACGTCACTGCCTCACGTGCATCAGCATTTTCGTGACGCGCATCGGCTGTGCCCCGCCGTATTTCGAAGAAATTTTGAGCAACGTGCGTATGTGTTTAGAACATTTTGCACACTGCGAGCGCGCACACGAACCTGACGGCGTTGAATACACAGTTGTAATTTTCCTAGGAAGATGGCGTCGTATGAGAAGGGTCTATAAAGAAGTTATTGCCAAGTTTGTGGGTCAATGTGCTTTGTCGTTTTGTTTAATTCCCATATAGCAACATGGTTCTAGCGCGCTCGGAGGGCTTGCATGAGATGGGAACAATCAGATGGCAGAACCTCGTTTGTCTGATCGTCGCCTGGATCATTGTCTTCCTGTGCATCAGCAAGGGGGTCAAGTCCTCCGGAAAGGTCAGTATATGAGAAACTCAGGTCCTGGTTGGCTGCCTTTGCTCATGAATATTCATTTCCCAGTGCTGTAGCATGCCACAATCTAACATTTCATTGGTTGCTGCATATCAGGGCTGTTCTTCTTTGCTCTTTGATTGGCTGAAATCAGAATATTTGAATTATAAATCTCACCCTGCGCCAGAGATCTTTCAGTCTTAAGTGTTTCTACCCAAGAATACTGTAATTCTCTTGAAATTGCATGGAACGGGATATGTATATTTTCATCTTTCTGTAATCAATGTTTCTGTCCTGTATCCTTGCTGTTAAATTTCATTGTATGATTGATGATCATGACAGTTGATTTGGTTAGTCATGAGAGGAATCCCAAATTAGCATGACACGGAGGTTCTCAATGCTAAGCCATTGTATGAATTGGACCTATTGCATTTTTGTGTTTAATCCTCGCAACAAAAGACAGCACTGAGGCCCTCGGCTTCAGTGGCAATTTGAATTCCTCTCTCGTGTTGTACGGCGGGCGATAGGTATCGGTATATAATATATTGTACACCGTAAAATTGTGACGCCACACAGGGTCATCTCCAAGTGATATGTCGAAACAATGTCTCAGCCGCCATTTTAACCATACTCTATGCACGAGCAATTAAGATCAATAATGATAAGTAATAAATAAGATGGGGCAGTGCCTAGCTGAATGTATTCATCACTGAGAACGTGATGGATGCCATATTACAGCACATTACTGTATCGCTACGTTAGGCGGGGTTTAGTCACATCACCCCAGGCAACGCATGACCTTGGCCGGGCACAATGTAACCACATCTATAGCGTATAAGGGGGGGGGGGGGGTGTAATATGCTGATGTGTTAAATGATGACAATAAAGGTTCTATGCTGTGAACATGCATGCATGGACTTCGGGGTGTTTTGAAACTCAACCGCCAATTGCTTTCTTTTCAATTTCTATTAACCAGTACATACATGTGCATGGACTTTATCGGCCTTGCCCATGATTGAGCCTATCAAAAACACTGTAGAGACCAACTCAAGGTTAGCATGGTGCACATGCATATTCAACATACAGTTATGTCTATCCAGGGAGGGAATGTGACCCAGAAAATTTATGAGGGCATTTCTTGCCGAATCTCCAAGGATTGCCCAGAGGATATATGATAAGTAATGCGCTGATGGATAATTCTCCTTGAGTATGTGCAGGTCACATAGGTGTTGGCATGCTGCATCTGTGCTTGTCCATTCAGTGAGCTCAGTTCGCTAGGTTGTTTTTTTTCATAGGAAAAAACCAGAAAGCAATTTGATGACTCAGGATGCATATTTTATGCAAATGATGTTTCATTGTAGCTGTAAGAGATATAATATGACTGATGGGTTTGTCAAAAATTCATTACACTCACATGTAATGTGTGTGTATCTTGGTCAGTTTAATAATTTTTCTCATATCTCTAAACAATTTTCTGTATTTTTTACCTACATTTGGAGGGCATATTTATTGAAGCGTGTGATACAAATTCCTGTGCTTGTGTTTTTCTAACCCTGAATGTTAGCTTTTGGGTTGAACCTTTCACTCTGTTAATTTTAGGCCAAAAACGAAATTGTTGTGTTGCCCTCATCCGACCGACCCAAAAATTTGGAAATCTCCGGTCGGTTTTTTGTTTTTTGGGGGGAGTTTTGTTTTGTTTTGTTTTTCCCTTGAAATTTTCATAATAAACTTAACCTTTGTAATATGCCATATTTTTGCATTTTGTTACAAAACGTACATACCTAAATGGTAGTACAGTTTGAATTTACCGTATTTGGTAGTAAGTGAGGCTGAGGCATGGCATGTGATGTGTGTGTACAATATGTATCGCATGCATGTACACGTACACAGTATAGTTGGTGCTTGCACATTTTGTGTATGTTCATAGAGGGGAACTGGTAACCGAATGAAATAGAAGGGGTAGGCCTATGTGAATTATAAACCGTATGTAACCCCCCCCCCCCCCTTCAAAAAACAAAACAAAAATCCCCGACCGACCGACCTTCCTAATATTTTTCATGTGAGGGCAACACAATTATTTTATTTGTTGGCCATATATACATACATGTACATGAGCATAGTACGTGTAGTACCCTCCTCAAAATATGTCTTCCGACAGTTTGGCAAAATGCCAATCTTTTGTTAATCAGAATATTATCGCACATGTTTTGTCATCCTGTTGTGGTACTCACAAGTAGTGTGACATGCCTCACTAACAATACATTTGCATGTTTTATTAATGTGTGTACTTGAGTTGCATTATTCATTGAATTTACTTGTGGGGGGGGGGATGCTCTCATGTGTTGTTTAATATGCAACATGGCATCTTCCATTATTGTAGAGGGAGGTTGAGTCATTCCATTCCTTATACAAGGGGTGATTGTCTTTAAAAATCAAAGATTTTGTTCAGGTCTTCAGGCAATTTTGTGAACAAGCATTATACTGTGTGGACTTCCGAACAAAGGATGTCCACATAAACCAGGTTTCAGATACGTTATGTGGAGTGGACTAGCTTGCCCACATCCATACAAGCTTTCCCCCTCTCTGGAAAACAGGTTTACAGGTATTTTGGGGTTAGGTTTATCTGTGGCAAAATGAAGAGAAACACTCAAGGGAATCATAGAAAAAAAATTGGGTTGAAAGAGTTTTCACAGTGTGAGTAAAATGAGTTTTTTTCACAGGTTTTTCTCAGCTACACGAAAACAAAAGGAATGTCCACACTATCATTAGGTACGTAAACCTGTATGTGTGTTTGAAAACATTTTCCTACCCATTTCCTTCCCAACTGGTTTCCTCTTTTAGGTTGTGTACTTTACTGCCACCTTTCCCTACGTTGTTCTGTTCATCCTGTTGATCAGGGGCGTCACCCTCCCAGGGTCTGCCCAGGGAATCTTGTTCTACATCCGGCCTGACTTCTCCCGCCTAGCTGATGCTAATGTAAGTCAGAAAAAAACCCAGAAGGAAAACTGTGTGCAAAGTCTATGGCAATTACAGGGTAATGGGAAATGGGTAAAAATGAAACGAACACAAAAAGTTTCTAGAAATATCAAGTGTTTGTATACAAGTACCCGGTTGAGGGTGTAGGCTTTGAAGATAACACAGTCCCTTTTTGTGTTTCTGAATTGATTAAACTACACTTTAGGCTGAAGCTTTAATAGATTTCTTGCGTGGTTTAGCAAATGGGTGTCTGTATTGTTGACGTCTTCTCAGGGAACTTTTTTGCAATGAAAAAATGGTTGTTCAAATTTCAATGTACATTGTAATGTAACACTTGGTTTAAGTTTTTTTGGGGGGTTGGGGGTTGGGGGGTTGCCTTTCAGACAAAATCCTATGCCGTGCTTCGCATATTACAACAGACACAAAAGGCAACTTAACGTTTTTATTTACTCTAATATTGCCCCGAACCTATCAAAATACCCAGCCAGATTGTTCAGGCTTTTTATTTTTAAGGGATCTAAGGTTGGTTAGCCAAGCCGCCAAATACTGTACGCACGACTTAACCCAATTTTTTATTATTCCCAAAAGTGTGCAATTGGTCCTCCCCAAAGTGTTGGCATTTCAGGGTAGATTGGGACCAGCAAAAAAAAGCTCCCCCTGTGGGTTAGAATTGAAAAAAAAAAACCTTAAAAATCTGCTGTTTGGACCTACATGTATGATGTGTACTGTGCATTGTACGTGATGCCGGCATTGGAATACCACAATATGAATAACTGTTATTCTCATTTCTTTGTCAATTAGCTATTGTGTAAGGTATCATTGCGGAATAAGGTACATTGCACATTATAAAAGTGAACGGTGGTTTTTTCCATCACGTTTCTTTTGTGGTTTCATCCAAGGCCGAGTGATGGGGGTGTTTTTTTGGGGGGGGGGAGGGGAGATAAATGCATGCTTTATTTAACAGCTAGTCATAATTATACATTATGGGGCACCTGCATTTACTGAATTGGTTTTTTATTTTATAAATGTCCTGTTTTCGATATTGTGTAAGCACTGAGGTGTTGAGGTCACACTATTGTATCAGGTGGTATATTGCAGTCTCCATTCAGACGTCTAAAATATATTACAACGGTGGGAAGTCGGCTTTTGCAACCGTCCTTAAGAGAGGGAAGATTTGGCATCAGGAAAAAGAAATGGACATTTGCATTGTACACCATAGTTAAATGATTTTGGGGGTAAATTTGTGTGCAGACAATCGAGGTCACCTTGGTGAGAAATGGGGTAAAAATATAGCTGGCTTACACATGTAATTGAGAACCCATAAAAAGAAATAAGTTTGTCATCTAAATGAAACAGAAACAAAGGGAAGAATTCCATACATGGAAATCACTAATTTTTCCCTTCAGTGACCTTTCAGCCATCAGAAAGCGATAACGTGTCCTAAAAAGTCAAGTTTAGCAGGGAAACTATTAAAGCATTAATACTGAGAAAACACTTGGAATTTTTCAGACCAGTCTCGTAGGGTATGTGTACAGGGTGTCAAGTGATGTCCAGGTACAGAACTCTTTCCAAAACGAAATCAGACTTCTTAGTTGATAAATGAATGGGACTTATGCTTACAATTAAAGTAAAAAAAAAAGTATAGGCCGTCTGGTCTGCAGTTGACCGGTCCTCTGAACTGACAGTTTCTCCTTTTTGTTGTTGTTCAATAACACTGAGAATTACGCCTTTGAACGCCTTCCAGAAAAAGTGCGCCAAGTAAATGCCGTGTTTTGCGGTATTGCTATTAGCGTTTTTTAAGGTGTTCTTGCTGTAATCCAGTTCTAGTCTCAAAGTTGCTGTCAAGTCAAGTCAAGTCCTTAACAGTCCTCGCAAATCCAAGTCAACCAGTCCCAAGCCAAATCGACGGCTAATGAACTGCGACAAAGGCGTTCCCGTTGTTACGAATCGTCCCCTGTTTGTCGTGACCAGACTTGCGAATGGACTTGTAATTCACTCGTGATGGACTGGACTTCAATTCCGTCTTTTCTCCTGAGTAGGTCTGGAAGGACGGCGCAGTTCAGATTTTCTACTCCCTGGGCCCGGCCTGGGGAGGCCTGCACACCATGGCCAGCTACAACAAGTTCCGCAACAATTTCTACAGGTAACGTCCAAAATGTACTCATGGTTTCCGTCCATATTAATTTAATGCAGCATTGCCACTGGAATTTTTTACACCGGTACACTACGTAATAATATGAGTTGGTACCAACAAGTGGTTTTATGTTCAGCCATTTATCTTATGAGCAATGTTTTTCCCACGGCGGTGTGAAACACGCTGTGGGCTTGAGCTATGTTGGTTGGTGGGTTGGTTTGTGGGTTGGTTATTTGGTTGGTCTGTTGGTTGGTGGAAACTTTGCTCGGCCCGTTTTACTGTTTCCATGCCACGTGTGTATCACAGCTTTACCAGTGAGTTTCTATGGAATACTTGCCGGTTTGTGACACTGATGCGCATGCGTCTACTTTGCATATTAGATCACGCCGCATTGCATTGCTAAACTTGAGGTTATACGGTTCGTGGAACCGCCGTTGGTTGTACCACTTGTACTTGTTATAACTGCGTTTGCCTGTAATGGTGCTCGGTTATTCTATCGGAGTTACTGGGATCGCCCCACCGTGTGATTAAACCAAAAATCAGTTTCCTGCCGTTTGTTCAAGTACATGCAACTTCAAGAGGGTGATTCATATGACTCATTATTTTTTTTTGCTCAAACAGAGCGCAGTCCTGTTTCCTTCTGTCAAGGTGGCCTGTTTGACTGTTTATACTCGTCTTTCGTACTTTTTTGCCATGATTAATCCTGACAGGAGGGATTGGGGCATTTCCCCTACAGGGTTCCAATCATCATGATGAATTGCAAACTATTAATGTCATTCCTTGAGCAAAGATGTTTCTTGGCCCTCAAAACATGTACATGTACCTGTTAAAAACAAAAATTCTCCTTTTTTTGGGGGGGGGGGAGGGAGATAAGAGTACAAAACTTTGACCTGTTAACAAAGATATATGCCAGTGAGAGTGCTGGATATGTCTGTGCCTTTTTTTAATGAGTCAATTTGACCCAACTTACAAATGTTACACCACAGGGTTTCCCAGAAAAAGCGGGCCCGGACAAATCAGTGGCCATATCTAAACAAAAATTCATGTGCGAGACTCAATTTTGTATTGTGTTTTTTTCAGGCTGTCGATGTTGTTTATTGCCTGTGGAAAAAAAATAAACTGAATTGATTGAAAACTTTTAAAGCCATGACTAGAAACGTAGGCGTTCCATAAAATCAAAATTTACACTTTTTACAGCATTAGCTTGTGCTGGTAAATTAGTGGAGAGAGGAGACCACGAACTTGTATCACACACGGACACATTTTACATGCAGACAAGAAGAGACTATGTTTATTTCATAACGCATTAACATGTAAATGCGTTATGAAATAAAGGCATAGTCTCACATGAATATTTGTTCAGATATGGCCGCTGATTTGCCCGGGACTCTTTTTCTTGGACGCACTGTACTTGCACCACCTTTTACATGTAAATGCACCTCCTTTTGTTATTCCCTGGCTACCCCCAGGAGGGCTACATGTATAACAACTGAACAAAGAAAGTAAGGGGACATTATTACTATTAGTGACCATGAAGTTTTTTCCTTTCCTTTTCTCCTCATTCTTTGACTAACAAAAAGAGCAATAGCCAGGTTTTTATTTGATATGATTCCTAATCCCTTTTAGTATTATCCAATTTTTTTGTCAACGTGGGGGAGGGGGATTGGGAACACTGAATTGAATGAAATATCGTATGCATTATGTTTTGCACTTTCATTTTTATCTCCCACAACCCTTCAAAAGTTCCTGTCTTTTCCCCAAAATGAAATTCTCCACATTTAATGTACGAAATAAAACAAAGTTTAAAAACAAAAGTCCAAAGGAAGTCAACCAGAGATTTCCAAAAACTGGCTCATCAAAACCAATTTCTTCTATCCAGGGGAAAATTTAAGGCTTTTTTCACAGGAAGTATCAAATTAGAAGGGAAGTACATATTGTAAGCCTTTCGTTTCTCAGCAGATTTTTTTTGGGGGGGATGTTAATTCTTTGTATTTCGCACCAAGTCATGGAACACGACACAACCAGCTGTTTTGTATATTTCAGGACATTTGGCGCGAGATCAACAACTGTTACAACACCCATCTGTTTTTGTGGCCATACATGTAATTCATCTTGGTCCCCCTTTTTATATTTCTCGGTTAACTTGTTTTACACTCCATATAAACCTGCTGCCTAAGGTTTGTTTGGAGTATTATGTATACCTGCGATATTAAATTACGCTGTAAACAAACTAAATATACATTATAAAAGCCTTCTATAATAAGTGGAGAACTTTTGCAGATACATGTAAATGTTAAAAAAAAAGGACAAATTTTGAAGTCGCAATTTCTTTTCCACCCTTTATATTGTAAAAAAAATTAATAGTTTCAAAGTATATTGAATGAACCTATATGTACAAAACAAAAACTACAAAAAACAAGGAGAAACTGACTAGACATATTTCCATGAACTTTTTGTTCAAACAAAAAAAAAGGAAGAAAAAAATTCTCAAGTGGGATTCGATCTTTCCTTTTCCACCCTTTATATTGTAAAACAATAAATAGTTTCAGAGGTATATTGAATGAACCTACATGTGCAAACGAAAGTAGATAGAGAAAAAACACAGAGAAACTGACTTGACATATTTTTATGCATTTTTTGTTCAAACAAAAAAGAAAGACAAACAAATTCTCGAGTGGGATTCGATCTGTTGACTTCCAGAAAACCGTACCAGGCGCGCTTCGTAGAAAACTGATACTAGGCTGGTTAGTTTGTAACACAGCCCTCAATAAAGTATTTGGTTCTGCAAGTAACACAAATCTCGCATATAATGACAAGCCAGCCTGTTATAATATTACCCTTTAAGTGTAATAGAGTACGCCCGTTTTATTATAATACCTAATCCAACCTACAATAAATAATTGTTGACTTGCAATGCGAACCAGAAGGTCCGATCATGCGAAACATTTCAATTTGCCTGCATTTAAGCAACTTGAAAATTCACTGGCCCATCTGCTACTGTGTCTAACATGAAGGAAAACAATTTGTTTAAAATTTACATATTTTTTATAGTTCAGCAGATGTTCATGTATGGAAATTATATTCAGCGGTGTACAGAAATTTCCAGTGGCAATGCTTGCTCTTTAAACTTGAAATAATTTATTCCGTATTACAGTTGTATTCCTTATCTTTGTCCTGTCCTCGATTCCCAAACTTCCCATGATCCTTTGCAGTCCAGAAAAAATAAACTGACTTTCGGAGAATGAATTTAAGTAACCAAGGAATCACTCTGTTTTAAAAATGAAGCATCTTTTTTGTGAGATTTTTTAATAACCTATTGAAATGAAATTTAAAAAAACAAGCCTACATGCTAGAGACAATGGCAAACCTTTTTAGCCATTCACATTGTTAGCTCTTTGAACAAAGGATCATGGGAAATAAATTTAAACGTGACCAATTTTTTTATGTTTTGCAGAATTGAAGATTTGAATTGAAGATTTCTTCTGATATTTACCGAATATACTTATGACACTATTCACCTGTTTCATATTGCCAATGCATTACGTGTGACCATTTCTAAACAAAAAAATGTGCGTTTGTATTTTTAAAAGAGTGGTTATTCCTATGCTGTTTACATGTGAAAGATCTTATTGGTATGCAAGGCAGTGTTCATTAAAACTTGTGATTGTCAGTGTGGGTGCGTTTGTGTCTGCATTGTTATGGTGTAAATCGAGGACACACACGTGCAACATCACCCAGTATAAATGGAGGACAGGAGTCAATTTATGAACTCGATTGGAAAACGTGTACAAAACCAATGGGAGCTGTTATATAAAAGTTTTGAGTATAAACAAAAGATCTATGATGGCGAATAATAGAAAATCTTCGATTTACACAGACAAGCGTGTGTTGTGTGTATGACATGACATAAGTGCGTTGCTTGGAAGTAAATGAGTATTTAGGGTGTTATATACAAATGTGTGTGTGTGTGTAAGGAAGAGGAAGGGGCGGGGCATGGAAATTGGTGGGGGAGGGAGGGAGTCCGTTTAGAGCAGATTATTTCTGTTTCACCCTATGATCAGTTCTCTGTCTGGACATTTTATGCAGACATTCCATTGGTTCTTTCTATTCAGTTTTGGATAGACTGAACAAAAATGAAAATTTGAGGATTTCCCTAATCCCAAGAAATGTTTTACAGGCATGCAACTTTTCCTAGGATCCACTCATTTCCTCATTTGAAAAATACTGTACTGAGTCTTGTGCGGTTTGGAATTTCCTTGTTTTTTTTCTCTAAATTCCCAGTTGCATGCCTGTTTTTAAGAGAAAATATTTGTTGAAATAAAATAAATAAGAAAAGTACACGGAAATGAACTCTACCAGTACATGTACATGTATTCAGTTTCCTTCACAAAATTAGAACAAATTTTAAATGTGAATTTTTTTTTTTGGCAGTACATTCCTATATAATGCCGAAACAAAGATAAGAAATACAATTGCTTAGCAGAATGAAGATATATAATTTCTGACAAAGTCATGGCCTTGTTTCAGTTAAGTAAAAAAACAAAGGTTAGTAAACCTAAACGTTCACAGCATTCATAACATTGTGTGGTAGAATTCCACGTTTTGAAACGACCAAGGTCATTTATGAAATCACCCAGTGCACATGCGCGCTCTCTGAACTAAGTGGTGCACAGGTGCAATTGGGAATAAACATACATGCATCGTCAACTCAGTACCCAAGCTCATGCATAGACTTGCTTCACTTAAAAGACTGTTCCCACATTGTGCATTGCCAAGTGCTTGAAATAATTGCTTGAATTTCACATTATGGCAAAGATAAGCATCCACTTTGATATACCTAGTGACGAGATGTTCACAGTTTCACTGAATTCAACTTGTCCCAAACCTGAGTGGTAACTTAAACTACGGTATGGGATCTAGGCTAGCACTGTCTAGATTCCCCGTGCTTTCCAGAAAACATAGTGTAGCCTGTAAGACATACATGTTAAATAAGGCTTAAAAGTCTGTCC